TCAAACAAAGAACGTTCTTCTCCAAGGCATGAGTCAAAGAAAATGCTGTATTGTATGTATTGCAAGACCCGTCGATAAGCTAAGGCTACGACATGAAGGAAGGCCAGAAGAACTACAGAACCATGCCCACCAGAGCTAAAGGAGACCGAAGGGACTTGCGGGAGATGCAGGTGGCTAGCTTGCCTGTGGGCCGTGGTATCTGACGGGACATTGGCCTCTCTCCCGCTACAGTTCACTGTACGTTCCTTTAGCTATAGACGTGTCCAATCTAAAAATAGTCCGTTCCACATAGTGCAAGGAAGTTCGGTGGGGTTTCATACGAGGGTCCTACTGTGCCATTGTATATATTTTATTTTATATATGTTGTTCTAAAGTACATAATTCAACTCTTTCTTTTATATTAATATTTCTTTCAAATGCGCAGTTTCGGTAACAAAAACTTTATTTTTTTATTACTATGCATATAAGTTCATAGGAAAAAGAGAGACAAAACTTATGGATAGATCTTAAGAAACTAGTAAAGTTTATCTCCAATGGTTGACTATGACTAAGAGTCTTTAACAAGATTATGAATGTGAGATAAGAAAGAAGACACACTGATACATACTAACAAATGTAAAAGATTCTAAAACTAGATTAACATATTCAACTTAATTGAAATAGAAATTAATGAATTTCATTTCACTTAAAAGGGATGTAAATGACCTAGTAAATATGAGTTTTTAAAAGTCTTGACCTTGTTTTATACAACGTGTGTTGTAGGACATAGTACCAAACATTTTAACGTCAATCAACATTAACTTAGAGCTCAATATCCAAATTAGAGGTTCTTGACCTTTACACTTAATTGCTTCTCCGATGATACATAAAGATTTAAAGAACCTTATTACTATGACTATAAAAAGAAGATATTGCTCTTATTGATAACTTGAAATCAACACAGAGTAAAAAATAATATAAACTTATTATTATTATTTTTGGGTCACGAGAAGATATTGTGATATAAAAAAATTAAAGAAAGTTTGGATCTGAGATGGAGATAAAAATATTAGATAATATTTAGAAGCCCAAACAGAAATTTTTTAGGGACCACAATAGCAAATGATTAATGGACCTTGAGTTTGTTAAAATGTAGGATTTTAATTTATCCACATTTTATTCATTATTTAAATGAAAAAAATTATCTTATATTATTAATAACTTTATAGAAAATTAATAATAAACTCTAAAAAGTATTGAAAAAAGATATTTCGCCAATATCACATTTATTATTTGCTGTTGATTCCTTTCTTTTAGTAAAGGCATATAGATTCCATATCTAAATCATCATTGATTGACTAAATCATTTTCATGTCTTTTATATTTAAAAAAATGACAATGTATTTTTCCAAATACATTAATTATGAGGTAAGAGACTTTATTTAAAGGGTTTTTGATGTCTCTTGCAATAATAATATAGGACATTATCATATTTCTATTTCATTGTAGAAAAAGTCAAAAAGAATATTTAAGCATATTATTGATAAAGTTGAAGCTAATATAAAATGTAGAAAACTAAATTATCTTTTTACGGATGGGAAAGTCAAGTTTGCAAAATTTGTGCTCAAAACAATAGTTTCCTTTACTATGCAAAATGCATAAAATCATTTTTTAGTGTACAATGTTGTTAAGAGAAAGTAATGTAACATTTTTAAAAATAATTGTGAGAGTCATTTAGTTAATAATTTAATACTGAGAAATCTTCTGAATTAGAAAACATAAGAGCTTGTTAAATTTTTAAAAAAAATCCTTTTGAAGAATAAAGAAAAGTTCTTTAAAATTTTGTTCAAAGAGTTCAAAAAAACTACTTGAAGATCTAGATATTTTACGTTCTAAAATAATGTAAAACAATGAATAAGACTATCTTATTATTAGAAGATTACTCATTATAATATCACATTTTTATGTCTATATATCTTTAAAATGATCTTCTGAAGAATAATATGACCAATATGGCTTAAAAGAATTTTTTATACAAAAAGTTTTACTTAAAATATTAAAATAAATTAAATAAATATTTTTGATAATAAAATATTTGTTGCTTTTTAACTATACATATTTTAGATTGAATGTCTTTACATATCTTAAGCTAATCCTTGATGATTTTTAAGCTAAAATCATTTAAAAACATTTATAAATTTTTTTAAATATTCTAAAAATTGATATTCTAATAAAATACTTATGTTTATGTTAAAAAGTACAAAAACTTAATTAATAGAAATAAATCTTCTTAAAAAGAAAAAAGAAAAAACCCTTCTTAAGATTGTTTAAGATTTAAAAATAAATAAATAATTGTTTTTAAACTATTAAATTTTTTTGAAATATATCCTAAGTTGTAAGTGGGACTATTCAATATTCGTTCGATATATGATTCAAAATATAATGTAGTTTGGTGTGCCCTATATAAATGTCACAACCCTTAAACAAAACAACTCGTAGTCTTATGATTTATAATAATCAAAATAGTGCTTTAATTTTTGTCCTTTAATAATCCAACCTTCATATTCATTACTTGAATCATAATATCTTAATTCTTTATAACCTTTGTCTCTTTGCACTATTGTATTCCAATCTCTTTAACAAACATTAACTTGTGTCTGAATCTATTCTTTATGCATGCAACATCTAAATTTGCTAGTGATAAATAACATATGTAAATATGAACTCATACGTGAAACGTCATTTTTTATCTTTGTATTTACTATAACTTATCTCAAATGCATGAATGATTCTTCTTACTTGTTATTGAAATTTTTTATTGTGTTTGATGTTATTTTTAAGTTCCTTTTCTAGTTTTGATTTGTGACATTGTTAATAATTATTATTTGAGGCTTTGATTTCGTTAAAACTCTTATAAAGTTTAATTAAGTATTAGTTAAAAGTAATTTTAAATTTTTTTATGTTTGAAACTTTGAGCCCTTTTTCTTTTGACTTTTTCTCACAAATTTTGATTTTTTATATCTTGGTTGATTGTTGTCTTGAGCTTTACTTTTTGTTAAACTCTTGAAAGTTATGATTAATTGTTAACTTGAGGTAGTTTCTATATTTGAAAGATGTAAAGTAATGTATACTACTATGTTAGAATATATAGATCAAATCATAAAAAACACATAAAATATAGACCAAATCATAACCAAATCCTTGATAATTCAATTCTAATTAAGATTAGCATCATATTAAAGATTTATTAAGACCGTATAAGTGCTAACCTTTATAAGCCTTAAAAAGTAAAAGATAAACAATTAATGAAAACAATAATACTTGAATTAAGAAGAAAATTCAATGGTTACAAATATTTAAAATTAGGATTCCTCATCCTTTAATCACATAAGTTTAGCAATTCATGCCTAGTGTAGAAAAGAAGATAGAAAAAAAAATCACAAAAATTGATTCCACTGATACAAAATATTTTTTTTATAAGTTCTTCACCTACAAAAATGTTAAAAAAAAGTCTATTTACATGCATGGACATTTCAAGATGTAGCTATGATCATTTGAGGCATAGAAACATAAATACTTAATAATCAATATCTATAGCGTAACTACAAATAAATTGGGTAAAATTTTGATAAGATTCAATAATCTAACATTTCTTATTCAATCATTTAGTATAATTATGTCTGTATTTCTTATAATTTTACTTTTTTTCTAGTCTAAAAATTCTTTATTTTCTTGCTTCTATTCTCATAGTTTCTTACTTTAATCACCATTACCACTAATTAACATTACTATTTGTTTCAGTCTAAGTTTTTAAATAAAGTTAAAAGATCAAGCTAAAAATAAAATATAAAAATTAAATAATCAAATTAAAATAAAAAATAAATTTAGAAGGCTAAATTAAATAAAAATAAAAAAGGAGACCAAAGTATTAATTTTTCTTCTTTTTTTTTTTATGTAGCTTTTCATAATTTATCACTTACAAAGTGACCAGCGCCTTTAGCCCCTGTTTACTTGATATTAAAAAAATAAATTTATATTTTTAATAAAAATTATATACTTTAATATAAATTTATGTCTGATTAATTTAAACACACATATTTACGGTTGAAAATTAATTCTATTAAAATAAATTCAGATTCTGATTTTGTTTATTTATATTTCTGTTGGTTATATGCACATACCTTATCATTTAACTTGATTGTATATGCATTGTAAATGAATTATTTTAATTATATTTTCTCAAAGCAGATGAACTTTATGATATGAAATTTGTCAAATGTACAACACACACTCACTGTGTTAAAACGTAGCATCATAAGCACCAGAAGGTTATCAAATTTAGCATTTACTAATTTGTCAATTTGACAATTCCTATGACTGAAAAAATGTGAATTGATCCTCAAAATAATTTACTTTAGCAAGAAAGTCAAGTAATATTTGTGTATTAAACTTAAGAATTTAACTATTTATATGTGATTGTATAATTAAGATTACAATTGCTCAAAAAATATATAATAATAAATTTTTATTATAATTATAAAATATCACAAAATTTAACACATTAATAATATTAAAGATTATAATTTTTAACAAAATATTATTTATTATTATATACTCTCAAACCCATGTCAACAATATCGTTAAGATTAACTTATTTAACATTTTACATTCTCATTTAATTTCAATTGTTACAAAAAAAATGTTATCTTATTGTTTATTTTATATCATTAAATGATTTTAAATCATCTTAATCACGTATCAAAATGTAAATCTTTCAGTTTAATTGAATACACAACAAAAATCGCCAACAATCAAAAACAAATCGTACAGTTAGCAGGGCAAATAAAAATCTTCAGTAAACTAAATTTAAAATGACACAAAAATTATTTGATACAATTATCGAATCCAATTACCCAAATTACATAGAAACAGAGAAACAAAATAAGAAATTTTATTTTAATAATTAGAAAGAGAAGACCTGATGAGAAGTGAGACTTGAGAGAGAGAGAGAGAGAAATAAAATAAAAATTAGAAGTAGAAAATAGAAATAAAAATAAAAAAGAAGAAACAAAAGAGAAGAAGAAGAGAGACACTGTTAGCAGCGATCGAGCTTAAACACAGAGAGAAAGCAAAGTTCAATACATAAATCAGCAACAAATAAAAAAAAAAAAAAAAAAAGAAGAAAAAATAGTGAGAGACATAGCCATAATCGAACTTTCGAAGATTCGAAAGCAGCAAGTGAGGTTCGAGATTTCTATGCAAATTCGTGAACTACGCTGAGGTCAGAGCTTAATCAATGCATAAAATTCCCTTTTTTTATTTTCTAACAAACTTCCAACCCTTAACTTTTTGCTGTTTCTTCTTTCATTGCAATTTCAAAATTTTCACCCTTTTTATTTATTTATTTAATAATAATTAATAATAATGTTTTTTTTTTTAAAAAAAAATTGTATCTCATGTTGCTCAATTTTGTTCTGCTCAGTGATCTCTTCGGGACTCAAAGTTCGTGTGGCGTTGGGAATTTGGCGAAGCAATGAGGGTTTTTAGATTGGTGCAAGTGATGTTGTAACGTTCGTTTCGACGCGAGCGTGGTGTTTCGGACCCTCGGGTTTGGTGCATCAAACTTAGGGTTTTGATTTGCCATTCAATTCGTTGAATTGTGTTTGGTTTCGCGCTTGGGGTTAGTGTGTTTTGTTGCGGTTTGATCCCTAGGGTTTTGGGGGTTCGAAAGTTGAGATTTGGCTTTGCATTGTTTGGTGTCTTGGGGTGTGAAATTCGGGCAAAAGAGTAACCGAATTTGGTTTCAAAATTGTTGCTTTTTGTTGGGGGTAAAGATGTTAGAATGGTTTAGGCTGCATCTGCTTGTGGTGTTTTGCAGGGGTTGTTGTAGTTGATTTGAGTTTGATGATATGGAAGAGGAGAAGTTTTGGGTTATTTGGAAGCAGAAGTAACTGCAATTTGGCTTGAATTCAGGTTACGTGTGGGTGTGTTGTTTTCTGATTTGTTGGGTTGTGTATGATTCTGTCTATTGAGAAATGCAACCCCAGCTGAGCTCGAGAATTGATTTGGTTGAATTGAAAGCACAAATTGTGAAGAGGATTGGAGCAGATAAGTCGAAGCAGTACTTTCATTACTTAAACAGGTTTCTGAGTCAGAAGCTGAGAAAGAATGAATTTGATAAGTTATGTTGTCGGGTACTCGGGAGGGAGAATCTTACATTACACAATCACTTTATAAAGTCAATTTTGAAGAATGCGTGCCAAGCCAAGACACCACCGCCAATCCAGCCGACGGGTCCTCCGAAATCAGGAGCATTTGTCAATCATGTATCTCCTGGTGAAGATGATGGACATGAGCAGAGTGTTGCTAACTCCCAAAATCAAAATGCTTCCATTTGGTCCAATGGAGTTTTGCCAGTGTCCCCACGTAAGTTAAGGTCTGGAGTGCGTGATCGGAAGCTTAAAGATAGACCAAGCCCTCTTGGACCAAATGGGAAAGTTGATTCTGTTGTTCATCAATCCACGGCTACTGAAGACAGTGGTAGTAAGGTTGATATTGAAAATGGAACTCTTACACCGTGTGATTATCAGAGACCAATCCAGCATCTTCAAGCAGTTGCTGAACTACCTGAGAATGGTATGAGGGATGTTATTCAGAGACCAGAAAAACCAAGAATACTTGGCAAAGGGCCAACTGAAATATCAGTTGTTGAGGATGGGGAAGAGGTAGAGCAATTAAACTGGCTAAGCTTTTCTAGAAGCCCCCTGATAGCACCACTTGGGATTCCTTACTGCCCTGCAAGTGTTGGTGGGGCCCGCAAAGCATTGCCAGTGAATAGCACTAGTGATTTTGTTAGTTGTAGTGACAGTGGTAGGTTATCTGATACTGATACATTGAGAAGGCGCATGGAGCAGATTGCCACAATACAGGGTCTTGGAGGTGTTTCTATGGAATGTGCAAATGTGTTGAATAATGTCTTAGATGTGTACTTGAAACGGCTGATCAGGTCTTGTGTTGATTTAGTAGGGGCTAGGTCTGCAAATGAGCAGAGGAAGCTCCCTGTCTCGAAACAGCAGAGTCAGGGCAAGGTCATTAATGGCATGTGGCCAAATAATCATTTACAAGCACAGGGTGCTGGTGGGCTGGCAGAACCTGAGCCTGAACACAGACCACCGTTATCAGTCTCTTTACATGATTTTAAAGTTGCTATGGAGCTAAATCCAAAGCAACTTGGGGAAGACTGGCCACTGCAGTTGGAGAAAATTTCTATGCGATCATTTGAAGAATAACACCTCTTTGATGATTTTTTTTAAGGAAAAGGTTGAGTCTGTTTCATCTGGTTCTGATGGCTCTGAAATTGTTGGTGGTATTTGGTGCACTTAGCTCTGTTCTTATTGCCAGGATGAACCAGATGGCCCCCAAATGGAGAACTTCCAGTCCTTCCAGGATCAAATACTGTTTTTGAGCTTCAAAATGTCTTATCTCTGCTATTTGCAGGGCTAGGATCGATCAGATATTTATTAATCTGCAATCAAGGGTACCATCAAATGGGCCCAGGATTGGTTGCACTGTTGTATGTTTAGCATTGGTGTTGGCTGTATTTGCCATTGCTAAATCTCTCGAGGCTATTGTTTGCTTTACAGCCAATGAGAAACAAGACTCAGAAAGTTTTGCAGGGATACTGTTATGTAGCTGGGGTCAAGGAACTATGACATGTGTAGCTGAAGGGTTGCTCTGTATGTATTTTTATATAATGAGGATTGATTGAAATTCAATATTAATAACACGTCGACATCTATTGAAATTTCCTTCTTGATTTCAATTTTTTGGTTTGAGCTCCACCAAATTTGGCCATTACCTTTAGTAGTTTTTTCTTTTTATTTTATTCATCATGTAGATCTAATAGTCTTTCAGTTCTATTAAATTTTGTTGAAAATAAATAAATTTCTGATCGTATGTTAGACTGACATCATTTTCATCAATTTAGTATACACAGTCTTTCTTTTTTGTAAATTATGATATCTTATGTAGTTGAGATTTCATTAGTTTTATAACTACATGCATCTGTTATCTGAAATTCTGTTTCTATTTTAGGAATTAAAAGCAGAGTAAGTGTGCATGAAAACTTTATAGAACAACTTGAAGGGAACAAGGGGTTGTTTGGTTTGAGAAAATATTTTCACTTTTAATTACAAAAATGTTATCTTGTTTTCATTTTATTCCTTGTTCTAAAGATTTACATATGAAACAGTGAAAATAATTTATTATTATTTTTACTGTTTCTCATACACAAATTAAAAACAGGAAACAAAATGAAAACTAACTAACATCTTTGTAATTAAAAGTGAAAATAAAAAATATTTTATCTAACCAAATGCCATTATCCAATTCATGGGAGTAATCCTGTACTCTGTGCACAGTGGGTGTGTGTGTGTGTAACTGGCTCCCATATATTTGAAGACAGTAAACAACAGGATTCCATAGAATATGTTGAACTAGGAAGTTATTTGTTCAAAGTCAGGAAGATTGGTAAAAGTTACTTGCAAATGACTTGTATGTTGCTTATGGATGGACGAGGGTTCTGCAATGCAGTAACCATATAATTTGATTCACCTATTTGCATTTGTTGCTTAGATTCATTATGCAGAAAAATTATCAGGCAACCAATCATGATTCATGAGACAAAATGTAAATGTCTGTTTTGACATTTTAACCTTGATTTTGATAGTTGTCTTGGTTTTTCACAGTGGTTACTACAAGTAACTGCAATTTACTGAGAAATGCGGAGAGAATTAAGTATTGTCGTAATATGTTTACTGGTTTACTGATTGGTGAAAAATAAAATCTCAACGTGTTTGAGCTGCAGTATACAACAGCTACTGAATTTAAAATGGTGTCTCGATATGAATATTGACAATGGATTCGACACAAACGATTAAGAATTGTTTATCTGCAACTGATCACTAAAAGGTTTTGCCTGACACATTTGCTTTTGGCAGCATTGTGTGCTTTTAGTAAGATCTCATATTCCAATAATATTGAAAACTAAAGGGTGTTTGGTTTATTTTCAGGTTTTCATTTTTAGTTTGTATGTTTCAATATAATTTCATAAATGCCACCTATTTTTCATGGTTGTATTTTCATCATTCACTACTAAAGAATTTTAAAAGTAGAAAGTAAAAGAAAAGTAAGGTGCCTACAATTAAACAGATAGAAAAAAATTAATGAAAATAAAAAAATGAAAATCAAACATCCCCTCATTAATTTCTTTTCTTTTGGTCTTGCATCAGGTAGTGAACTGGTGATCATTGCTGGTCAACTTTTAACTAATGTTCTGTTCTGTTTATTCTTGCATTGAAACCCACGTGATATAAATGGGTGGCCAATTGCTTATCTTAGTTGGGTTTTATATTTCATGGCTTTGACCATCATTATATATACGTCGAGTTTAATTTGTATTACCAATGAGAAAAATAAGAAAGGCTAGACTGTTATTCTATCTTTTTACACTTAAGATTCCTCATTTACGCAGTACCACTACCATCTGAACCAAACATTGAAGATTTGTATTTATTTTATCTATATATACTGACTCATTTAATATGTATTCTTTAGAATATTGATTCTGTTTGTATTGCTTGTCCTTGGGCCATGCCTGCATCTGAGTGGCTTTTTGTGCTTTGCATGATGCTTGCATTCTACTGTGCTGGCACATCAACGGTTTGGAGGATCTCGAAGGTTGCGAGTAGAAGCTTTGGAGGCTTATTCATGGTGAGATTACAATAATCTTGAGGGAAAAAGTTGCATATAACATGTTCCAGAAGTAGTTTTGGCGAGCACGTGATTAGAAGACAAATTTCGATTAACAAAGTTTCAATAGATACATAAATGACTTCTATTATGGGTATTAAACTAATAACGATTTATACAAACTAATTCTTTTAATTTATAATTTAAAGAAAAATTTTGAAATTCATTTGTTTTTCTTTATCTCTGTCAAGATCTATAATTTCGTTTTTTAATCTTCATATTTATGCACATATCTATAAAGTTCGGGCAAAGTATGATATATGAGATTTTCCTCAAAGACCAAAGTGTTGTATATTTGGTGCTTGTTGGGTTGTATTTATTGCTTGAATAAATTGAAATGTGTTTGTTGTTGGGTTGAACTCCTTCTAGATAGAACACTGTTCAGATGAAGTTGAATCCTTGCAAGTGATTGTGTAAATTATGGTAATCATATAATATAATATCTCATACATTTATTGATTATGTAAGTTACCTCCGATTTTTTATGCCATTATATAAATCAAGAAAACACAGTAATGTCAAAAGTGAGTAATATCAAATGAAATTTTGTAAACTGTCATTTCATAATTGTAGAAAAGCTAGACAGCCTTTTCTGAAAAAACTGAATATCTTTATGAATGAAAAGAACTCTACATGAACTATATAACAATTCTAGTGCAATTGCCAACAAAGAACTTGATGAACAACATAGGTCGTTGCATCACCATTTTTGCAAATTATACAAAAATCACTTAAAGAACAAAATAATTAGGGATGCTTGTAGTTTGGTTTGAACCGATTTTGAGACAAAAAAGAATCATTTTATTTTCAGAATCGATTCAAACTGATTAAAGAAAAACTTATTGTTCAATTTACATCGGTTTGAGAATAATCAAACCAATCTGAGTTGATACTTTTGTGATTTGGATTAGATAGATTTTTCAATTTTGTTATTTTTTATTTTTGAAGAGACGCCACTTTAATTTTTTAGTTAATAAATAAGTAAAATTTTATTAATTAGAATATGAATAGAGTTTCAATTACACAGTGTTTTTAGTAGCACATTTTTTAAAAAGATAATACTTATTAAATAAAATAAATAAATATATAGTAACTATAAAATATTAAATTACGTTATAAACAATAACTTAGTCTAAATTACAATTTAGCTGTTTAATTGAAATTTATATATAGAGTAACTCAATCTTATGAAGTAAAACTTTTAGCTGTTTAATGATGTAGGTCTTACTTTTATTTATAGTAAAATTGATTTTAGAGTTTTTTTTTTTTAGAGTAATTCGATGTAAAAATAAACTTTTAGCTTGAATTGCTAAAGTTGGGACAGCATGACTGATCAACATTATCGGATTCAGTATATGTTTAGAAGAACAATGAGGTTTTGATAGAAAAACACAAAAGAGGAACAGAGAAGATCTTCATATGCACGTTTTCTTCCCCCAAACAACTCATGCAAGTTTAAAACACTGAAAAAAAAATGGTTTTGAAAACAATTGAGTTATAAATACCCGATAAAGCTATCACTCATTTCATATTTTTCATATTATTTTTAGTCTCACCTTTTATCATTCATTACATTTAAGAAAATGATGCTTTTACATTTTGATTTTTGGAATGTATTTTCAGGATGTTGTACACAAAAAATAAAAGGTCTAATAGTCATTTTATTTTAATCTATTTACGATTGTAATGCTCTAAGAAATACATTTTTTCAACATTTTCTTTATTTATTTTTAAATTTATTAAAAATTATGAACATGGCTCATTAGATAAGATTAGGACCTACATAAATTTGTAATTATTCATAAATTTTAACTAACAATAAATTATGTATAAAAAAGAATGTAACAGAAAATGTGTTGCTGGCATTTTTTTTTTTTATATTTAATCATCTTCATATTTTAATTATTTAAATTAAGTCTTTCACTTTCAAAATTTCATAAATAATTAACAAAATTATAATGAAGACATCACATGTTATTGGTTTGTATAAATTAGCAAAAACAATTATCAACATTAAACAAAAATAGTAAAGAAAATGTATAAAATAATAAAAACCTTTTATTTTCATTTAATTATTTTAAAATTATTGTTAGCTTTTATAAATTAATTATATATTTTATATGTTTATTAATTATTAGATAAAATTTTGAGATGACAGACTTCATTTAAATAATTAAAAAAATATAAGACTAAATATAAACAATAAAAAAAAACTAAAATTATTGATAAGTTGAAGTATAGAACTAAAAGTGTATCAAACCAAAATAAAAAGTAAGAAGGGATAGGAACAATTATATACGTTGACAATTCTTGGTGATTTAAATAATAAAACTTTTACTTCTCTCTTATTTTCAATTAAATGTGTAGGCTTACAAACTTCTTTTGGCAAAATATTAAATTTATTTTGTTTAAAAACATTTTCTCTCTATAATTTACCTCAATTTTAGTCTTGGTTCTTATATTTGTAAAGTAGAGACAAAAATCAAACTCTTCAAATATAAAGATTTAAACCAAAATTAATAATTAGAGTGTGCGTATACATATAAAACTAATTTATCTTTAAAAATATACTTGACTATGATAAAATAAACAAATAAATAATTTTTTTACTTGGTTAAAAATTTTATAGTAAATTTTATTATTAATTTACTTGTAAGATGAAAATTTTTATAAATAATTTACTTCACTTTAAACTCAATTTTTAATTAAAACTAATTTAACAAAATCAATTTTAGAAACATTCATCTAAACATCATAGTAACTTCCCCAACGCAGGGCATTATTTGCTGGAGCCTTATAAAAACAAACAATTTGATAATTGAAAAACATTCAAGTATATAACCGCATAGTATCAAATGCTGGTTTATTCGTCTTGAATCCCTTCTATTCCGGTAGTTAAAAAAAAAGGGGGTTGAGAAAGAAAATGATGCATAAATAGTACTATTTTTTAACAAGAAGTTCCAGAGTCCATCAAACCAGTGGCTTATATTATGGGCTCACGGGATGAAAATATTGGGTATGTACAGAAGAACAAGATCATTCAGAAGTGAGGAATATCTGCATTTTATATCAAATCAAATGTGAAAGGGACAACACAATCAATGAGGCAAAGATGAAGAATTGGACAGTGCTGCTGATACTTTACAAATAGGGCACCAATTCTTCAGCCGCAGCCACTCCTGAATGCAAATCACGTGGAATCTATGCTTACATTGCAGACTTCCAACTTCATCTCCAATGACATATTCCTCCTGCATATTAAGTACATGTATCCAAGAATCTTGTAATAAAGGAGTTCAAAGTTTTGTCATTTGGTATTTATAAAGTGGCTAAAGACACACAATAAGAATTAAAAAATAATATCTTTTATTGAAATTTGTAGCATTAAGATATTAATACATTGAATTCTATAATCTTGTGACTTTCATTAAAAATTTATTATAAATAGATTCTTAATATGAGCCTTTGAAATACAATAAGAAATAAATAAATAATGATTTTATTGAAAATTGTGGCATTTAATGTTATTGATGAATTACATTTTATGATATCTTATAATTTTCAATAACAATTTGATATACATGAGTTCTTTTACGTGTTTTTAGACGCACATTAGAAAAATTGTTTGTTATTTTCTACACTTAAATCTAAACTTCACACATTCCTCTTTTGAGGAAAGAAAAAGGGGAAACACACTTCCCAATATAAGTGTAGAAATAAGTAATAGAAAGAAAGGAAAATGCTTTTGGTACAACAGATTTGATTTAAGAGAATATTTTTGAGATGCCTATATACGGTATCAATTTTTTTATGTTCAAATAATAGAATTGATAGAGAAATTAGATGCAGCTAGGAATAGCATTTGATAATTTTAAGGTTTATACAAGTTTGAAAGCTTTAGTGACTAGTCTTAGATTCCTTCTAGTAGTGGAAATGTTCGATATTTATTATTCACGAAATAACTAAAATAAATGGTGCTAGTTCAGAATATTTTAGAATTGCTAGACACTGATGGAGCCTTTCCAATGCTATGCATACTGGTTCATAAAGTTTTAAGACTGAACATGGCTGACCTTAGTAACACAAGCAGTTACATTTGAATTATGATGATACCCCATTGCCATATGAAAGTAAAAATGAGCAACATACTTGCAAAAAATTGAATATATTTTATCAAAGTACCTGGCAGATGCAGCATTTGATATCATCCTTATCCTCCTCACAATTCTCGGCCACATCATCTGAAGGTGCAGACTGATATGTACTTGTTTTCAGACATTCTGAAAGTGCTTCCTCTGTTAGAGCTGTGCTCACAGTACCCATCCTTTCTTCTAGAGCTAAAAGTTCCTGTCATTAATGGAAACTTTCAGAGATATGAATAGATAAATATAAAATGAAAACTTACAGATTTTTAATCATATATATAATCCTCATTCCTCAAGGATAGTTCCCTTCTCAAAGCCACCTCCCTCAACACTTTTACATTTACAATCTCTCTCCCTTAATACTTCTATCAATAAACATCAATTAAATTTAGGTAATAATTGCCAATATTGCTATCAGAAACATTAATTTTAAGAATATTTTTAACCAAAAGTCTGGTATCATAATAAACTTGATGTGCAAAAAGGAAATAAGGAACTGATTTGTAGAGCCTTATGACATTAAAATACCTCATAGGACATGTTATCAATATCCATCCGCATGTCTCTGTGGTGATCATAAAAGTTTAGTCCATTAAGGAGCAAACTGTTTTCCAATAAAATAATTTGCTGCAAAGACACAAAATGGAAGTGTCAAATAACTGGCCAACTAAGTTGAATCAACTTTTAGTCAAGAATTACCTCGTCAGTTAGCTCTTCATCTTGTTCGATCCTCTCAAGTGCCAACAAAACCTTCATACAATTATAAAATAGTACTTTAGTTTTAAGCTCTCTCATCAAAGGCCATGATACTAATTACTAAATTGTGCTCCCTGGTTTACACTTAACAGAAAAAATTACCTCGGCCATACCATCCATATTGTAGTGTTGAAAGCCATCCCAGTTTATTAGAGAATGAGTGATGTCATATTCTGCAGGAGACACAGGCATAGCATCACATAACTGCTCACTGCTAGTGCCTGGTCTACCATAAGAGCTTGAACAACTGAAAGGAGTCTCTGAAGAAGAATGATATGAAATGCCAGAAGCATCAAGATCATCAGAATGAGGTGAAAGGGGTACGATAACAGAGGATTCACAGGTTGCCACAGGATTTCCATTTCCTTGGCTAGTAAACCTTCCCCTTGCATGACCACTATTTGATTTTTGAGTTCTAACTGATGCTGTGCTGATGTCACTGTGAGAAGGCAAATTTCTAGATCTTCTTGAATCAGAGATAGATAGCCCAATCCGGGAGCCAGAATTCCGTCCTATCTGAGAAGATCCAATAATTTTCTTGCCCTTAACAGTGGAACTACTTTCCCCTTCACAGTTTCTCTTTTTCATTGAATCCTTCTTTCTATTAAGGGTTGAATCTGATGATGAACTACCAGCTGGGATGACATCAGATATAGAGTTGCATCTGAAGCTCCTCAACTCATACCTACAGGTACCAGAACGTCTCACTGGAACACTGCTTTTATTTTCTTGCTCACGCAATCCAGGTCTTCGATTAAAACTCCTTTGAGATCTTGTATTTGATACTGCATTAGAGCTTCCTACTTCCACAGATATCACTTCACTAGACTCTGTACTTTCCCCTTCATCTTGAAGCCTTCTCTGACTTTCTTCTGGCAGAGGTATCAGCTCTGAAATTTCTGGTTCATCTTGCACGCTACTAGTTTCAGATGAATCTATCTCAAACTGAGAAGATAATGTTTTCCGAGACTCTATAAGCAGTTTTCCTGACTTACTAGTAGTTCTGGAGGAACTTCCAATTGCTTCCTTGCTACCGGAATAGGACCTCATAGATTTACCTTTGTCAGAAGATTTGACTTGAGCAACTTTAGGAAGATTGGCACTACCACTGCAACCCAATCGGCTGCAAATTTGACCCTTTTGATCTCTACTATTAGCAGTATCTCTAAGCACATGGCCCATCCCCTTTCTTGGAACTACCACCCCATCTATGCCTCTTTTACCGGAATATCCATCCATCAATAGTTTTTACCTTCAAATCTGCAACACATTCATATAATGTAGTAGTAATCAGATAATCATAAATCACACAGGGCCATCATAATAAAGAAAATAGTGAGGATGGGAATAGAAATAATTGGCAAGCCTAAATAACATATGATCTTTACGAAAAAGATAGTTTGTTTAAGAAAATATTTATAAATGCTTCATAGAATCATAATAATGATTTATATGCATAAATCAAATTGCAAGTTAAAAGACTGGCCAGACTAGCTGCTCCATTGGGAGTGCATAAATTTGAAGTTTGGATATAATGAAGGAAGTAGGAACTTTTCCACTGTTATACTTTCGAATAAACTTCATAAATTAAATGGCATATCTTGAAATCATTCCAAACTAGCCATGCGTGATAACTAAATTTCTTCACCCTAGAGAGAGAGAGAGGGGGGGGGGGGTTCATTCATAAAGCATATTGCTTTGGCAAACTGAGTCAATTATATAAGATTTTGCATCCTTGATCAGACAAATTGTTAGGGAATTTGAGCTATATCAAAGCACTTTCAATAAATAATTATTATAACAAAGTTAGAAAACAGTCAAGTTCCAAAGTTTTCACTGTTATAGGAAAAGGAGAAATGTAAGTACCAGAGAATAAATAATCCTTAATCCACAATTCCATATAATAAATAAAACATACTAAACTTAGACTATCAAAGTTTTCAAAAAATCAGTAACAAGTATTCATTAAACAGTCAATCCTTTCTGGTATGAACCCAAATTTACTTCTCTAATCTTTCAAGCATAAATCTACAAAATCATGCCTAGTGTGAATACCAGAAGATTTACTCCAATTGCTTCCTGGTAGCTACAACCATGGCCCTGCTTACATATCTTCAGTTTTTCTCATCTCCGGGGATAAACAACCAAGACTTTAATCTATATCTATATATAATATAAATAGAACAACAGGTTACTGAAGTCTATCAAAAGAGCTCCTTCATTAACTCTTCTAAACAAAGAAGCACAATTCGATCTCAAAATGGTAGTGTTAGATCATCATGTCAGCATGAAACAGAACACAAAATGGGAGTTTTGTTCTAATGTTGCTGGACTTTAAACTGATAGCAAAACATGACATAAGATTAAAATCACAGTACATTTTGCTTCTCCTAAAAGGGTAGAAATAAGAATAGAACAAAGTCAACAAACTGTTCTATTCCAATTGGTTCACACAACAAACGTTGCCAATAAGTAAAACACGGCTTGATTATATAATCCAACCATGGCCACATTTACACCCATTATTATCATTAAAAGTTCTCTCAAGGAACAATTCAAAACATAAAAAATCAAACAAATACATGATTAGATGATGATCAACATATAACATTAAGCAAACTCTAAGGCACATGTACTAATTCATCGTAAGAATCAACTAAGAAACTCAGTTATGAGATTAAAATCTTCAATAAAAATAAATAAGTAAATAAGTGTTGTAAAAATTACACGGCCCGTGATTTGACTACAAAAAAGAGGGTGTCTAAAATAACAAAAAATAAAATAAAATAATTTAAAAAATTCCGTTCGCTTTATTTCAGCTCTCAAAACAAGCTCCACGCAACACTTAAAAGTGACTCAGAAAAAACATGAATTAAATAAACTTTTTCAATTAAAATTATTAGCTCGAAACAAGAACAAAAAAAAAAAAAAGTTCCCATGACTTCGAACTACAACTATGAAAACAAAAATACAAAAAAATATAAATATTGATTAAAGCTTTCAATAACCAGCGTTTTCAATTCTGGGTATCACGATGATCACCGCCATCAAAAGCAAGTGTATATTATTTGCGGTTTCAATTCGTGTCTATGATGATTACCCAGTTTTCTTCGTTTAAAAAGAAGGATTAAGGAAGAGGAAACACCATAGAAAAGGAGGGGAAAAAAAGCGTGTGGATTTTGGAGTGAATATGATAGCCTGGGTTTATGGAGGAACTGGCCTAGGGTGGCTACCTTTTAGTGTTGTTGGCGTTGTTGGTGTTCTTTGCCTTTAGGAATAGAAAAGCAGTTGCAGAGTCTGAAAGAGAAAGAAAAGAAAAGAAATTTGTAGAGAGAGAAACACAGAGAGAGAGAGAGAGGGAAAAGTGCAAAACGTGTGTGAATGATCCAATGCTGAGCCAACATCTCTTTATTTATTATCTTTACCCAAGATCAACAACATAAAAAAAAAAAAAAAACAGCAATTAAATTTAAACCAAATATTTATAAAACGGATTTTTTAAATATATTTCCTTTTTTATCTTTGTAATAATTTTTTATTGTTTTATAAAGTAAATATTAAATAAAAATATGCAGATTTATTATTTTAAAAATATATGTAATATATCACCTATTGATATTGTGTGATTTTGAAGGACTTTTTAGTTGTATTTATAAATACCAAACTCATCATATTTTGGAGAATTGTTTGAAATGACTTTTGAAATACTTTAAAAAAATTTAGGTGGGTTTTTTATCTTTTTTTTTTCTATGCTTCTATCTTCTTCATTTTTTTTTCTGCTAATAATATTGCATTACTGTTTATATATAATATTATACTATTTTTTTTATTCCATTCACTTATTTGGTGAAAACATAAATGACAGTGTCATTGACTTGCTCTGTTTAGTTAAGTTTGTTCCTCAAATGTATAACACAAAAATGCTTAAAATTTTAACTTTTTAAGTAGTAGTTTTTTTTATAACATGTGTAAAAAAAGAGAAAGTTGAAAGTTAAAATTAATATCATGATCTCTACAATCAACCGTAAATCTTCAAATAGTTAACTAGTACTTTTAGAATTGCATTGAAGCTATTGACAAGACATATATTCTAGTAATAGTGAGGGGATGAGATGTAAGCAGTTATCGTAATCATCATAGAAAGATATTACAAAATGTATTAGCCACTTGTAATTTTGATTTGGAGTTCATGTACATTCTTAGTGGATGGGAGGGTTCGGCTTATGATTCTAATAATGTTATATTAAGGAGAAAAGAAATTAAAATGACTCCAGATAAGTATTTATTTTTTAAATAATAATAATAATAATTATACTAATATTATATATATTACATATGTAATTAGGTAAATATTTCTTGGTAGATTGTGTTTTGTGAACAATATTTCTTATATATAATATATTTTTTACTTTATTCAAATAAAAATATCTTTTGTGAATTATATATATTTATAATCTATAGACACAAAACATGAAAAGGTTTAAAAATCATAAAAGAAAAGAATAAATATAACAAAAAATACAATAAAAATTATAAAAATATGTACAATTTTGAAACATGAAAAAATCAGCATTTGTTTTTCAATCTATCAATGTTTTGCTATATCCAAAAATCCATGCCAACATTTGTACTAGTTAGGTGCATCTATCTCTTGGACGGAACATGCTAACAGAAGAAGCCCTCATTCTAACTTCTCAAGTCATTGATTGATTACTGGTTAAATAAAAAATAATTTTAGTATTTATATATGATTTGCTTTTGTTTTCATTTTTTATATAAAAAAATAGATGATATCTTTTATATGAAAAAAAACATAAAAATTAGTCTGCATTATTTCTGTGATATATCAATTGTGTTTAATCTCTGCATAAAAATTACACTAACATAAAAAATACAAAATAGTTAAAGAATTAAAATTCGCTAAGTTATGAACACATTGGAAAGAAATTCACACATTGAAAAAGCAAATTAATAAACTCTCTCAAGTTATCTTTAACACAAGGAACCTTAAGAAAATAAAATTAATAAAAATGGATCACTTGTTAAAATAATTTAGTCCATATTTTTTCACAATTTAATACTAGGAAAGAGTATAAAAGACATTAGTATAAAGTTGATCAAAGTTTATATCTTTTACATGATCACACTTGTAAGAATAAGAGAATGTTTGTTTTTCTTTTTAAAAATAATTTTTTGTATTATGTTTTATTTTTAAAAACAGAAAATAATTTTTAAAAAGAGAAACAAAGATACTTTAAGCCTTCTCTTTTTCTCTTTCTTACTTTTCTTTTTTATTTGAGAAAAAAATAAAAAATACCCTATGAAATCTTAGAGGATGAATTGCTCCACATCAAAAACTTTTATTGTTAGTTTTTACAAACTTATTGTATCATTGCTCTTGACAACACCTAGCACTATACAAAAGATGATTCATCAAATTCGAGTATAAGAAACTAAAAAGAAAGATCATTTTGAAAGAGTTTCACAAACTAAGATGACTAGATGTCAATCTTTGTCTATAAATGAAAAGTTACTAATTATTGAGCATAGACTAATTAGCTATACTAAAATTAAAATTGAGGAAGTTCTTCAATGCTTGTGGTCGATTAGTGCACAAGATAAATGGTTGATCAATCAATTACTCAAGGAGTAAAGGGTAGTTAAATAAACTTCAAAGGTAGAACATGCTCCTTAGCAAACACTTGGGAGATGCATTGTAAAGCTTAATGCTCTTAAATTAATTGCTTTTGCTAAGTTGCTGTTAATGATTTCTCGAGCCAAAACTAATAAAAGAAAAGAGTTGAAACACAAATCTGACCAATTTCATATATTTTCAATATAAAAGAGAATGATGAGTGATAATCAATGAACTCAACTATCATCTAAAGCTAATGCCATTGCAAATGCATAACAAATTATTGCAAATCATGACACAAATAATACAATGGAGACCATTTTATCCTTTTACATTTCTTACATGATTTCTTCTCTACTTTATTCTTTTAAATCTTTGCCCCTTTTCAAACCTACCAAGTGCTTTTATTCAATTAATTTTTATGGTCGATCTAAATAAATATTTTATCTTCTTTTTGGGTTATTATTCTTCTTCATTGATTTATGTTTAATAAATATCACAAAGTCAAATTTTTTTGTTCTTCTTCTTCTTTTCTTTCTTTGACCTCCAACGATCAATCAATCATTTACTTTAGAAGTTTCCATTGAGAAACTTAATTAACTCACTATTGCTTAGCAATATATCATTATTGATCTCATAATTGTTTTCATAATTAGATATGGGAAGCACATTTTTAAGGAGTTTTATTTTAATTATCACAAAGACCAAGATAATAGATGTAAGAAAATAAGTTGAATGAATAAATAATTTTTAATCAATCTTTTATTTGCTTTATTATACTTGCTCTTTTCTTGATAATGTATAAGTTTGTATTTAATGTATGATTGAATTATGATATGCTTATTTTTAGTTAAAGAATTTATCAAACTATTATGTTGTCATCATCAAAAGGGGAGACCGTTAAAACTAAGGCAATCTCCTTAAAATGAAGTCTTATATTTGATGTATCAAAATTACTAAATCTTGAATGAATTTTATATTATTATTTAATAAGTATGTTGAGTGTTTCAATATAAATAATTATTCAAAGAATTAAACAATGATATGTAAAAAATAATAATGAGAAGTAATCGATTCACAGTTTGTCAAGTTATAGCAAAAGTAAGTGTTAACCAAAGAAATATATCTATTTTCAAAGAAATTAAAATCATACCCTTTGGGTAAAGAAAAATTACCATTTTCTTGATTCTTCAAGCCAAACACTAAATCAACATATGAACAAAAAGAGGAACTCATAAAGCACTTTTGACAAAGTAAAAGATTTATACTTTATCAAAAGAATTTTTTTAGAAAAGGTTTGGCATATCTAGTGAATATATAGATGATTCTAATAATAACAAACATATAAAAACTATATAAAGAGTGTACAATCATGAAAAAAATAAGAAAATTAAATAAACACACTCTATCATTCAAAAAGTTTTTATTAGAGTTTCCTTTAAATACTAAATTTCAGTCTTATTTTTAGAGTGTTAAGAGCCTAAAAAAACATTCAAAGTAATATTGGAGAATGTAATAACTTGAAAAGATGGTTGTAAAATACTTGAATTTTTTTTAATTTAGAGAAGCTTTTACAAAATACTAGAAATTTTTAGTTTGTAAATCCTAATTGAATACTAAAAAGCTTGACAATGAATTAAATACTATATACTACTCTAACGTTTTAGAGTGAATTAGTATAAATTTTAGTGTTATTCTTTTTTTTTATGCTTCAATATCTTTAAAAGTTAAAAATGAGTTTTTGAATTTTAACTTAACTTATTTCTAATTTAAAATTCTATTATAAAAAAAATTTAACCTTGATTTATAAAACTTGATGAAAACTCTATTTAACTCCTTTTAAATTTTTTAACTTCTACTTCATTATAGTTAAGTCTTATCCCATTATTTTTTATACTTATAATTTTTTAATGGTAATTTTTTTTTATCAAATCTCCATGAATTGAATTTATTAATTATTATTATTATCTCAACACACATCAATTTTTAAGAAAATACAAAATCATAAATTTTAACTTCTTTCAAGTTTTAATTTAACATCTTATAAAATACGTTAAGTTTAATTGAAATTTTGAAATTTGTAAATTAATATTTATTTCAAATATATATTAATAATTTAATCATTCCAGTAAAAAAATATTGATCTACATCTACAAGTAAAATAATTTTATTATTGACATGTACGATTAAAATAATTTTATTATAATAAAAAAAATATGTTATATGTTTGACTAGTCAAATTAATATTTATGAGTTTAATAAATAATTTTTTATGAATTCATGTAAATTTATTAAATTATTTGGTTAAATTAATAATTTTAAATTTCACATTTTTATAAATTTTTCAAATATTGGTAATTTTTTTAGAATGTAAGTAATATATTTACTCTATACAGATATTTTTTAAAATAAATAATTTTGAATAAATAAAATTTAATTACATCATCCAAACAAATTTATTTAGAATAAAATAAATTGAGAATGAATAAAATTTTAAATCTATATCCATATAAAAATATTTTAAGTAAAATAAATTAAAAAAAATATTTTAAAAATGAAAGAAATATAATTTTAAAATTTTTAATTTTTTTTAAAATTAATTTTTTTAAACAGAACATCTACCATTATACCCACAATGATTGGCCATACCATTGCTATCCATAATGGAAAAGAACATTTACCTATTTATATAACAGATCTTATAATAGGTCATAAATTGGGAGAATTTTCACCTACTCTAAACTTCCGAAGACATAAAAAAATGATAATAGATCTCGTCGTTAACATTAATAACGAACGATAAAATGAAAATTATAATAATACTATTCTAATATAGAATAAGAATACTATAATAATAGTGAAATTGCTGGTACAAAGTCAAAAAAGGATTCTGGGCTAACACCATTGACGAAAAATTCTATTAAAATATCTAACAAATTCTTATATGATTTTTAGTAAAATCGGAAAACATTAAGTATAAACAAAATATCTAGAAACATCCTTGGAAGTTTTAAGAGAATGAATGTTATTAACAGGTAGGAATAATAAGACCTGGATTTTATCCCCCGTATTTCATTAAGTAAAAAAAAAATAGAAAAAAGACAGATTACTTTGCATACTCATATTCTTATTTCCATTCGATCTAATCCTTAGCGTCTCCTGATTCGTTTTCTAAAATAATCGGAGGATAGCCTGCCTATTCTTATTTCATAGAAAAAAAAAAAGACTAGATTGTAAAATTTTAAAAATTAAAATATTAAAAAAATATTAATAAAAAAATTACATTTAGTTAAAATAAAAGAATAAAAAATTAATTAAACTTAATAGCTACTATGAAAACAGATATCCACGGATCAGTTCACTTAAGTCTATGGTTAAATAATTTTATTTTTGAGAAAGATTAATATGTAGGCTACTATTAATGGCCTAAGCTAACTCAATATACATTTTTTGGTATTTTTAAATTATTTATTTTTATGCAGGTAAATGAATTATTTATATTTATTGTATCCTTTTCTAATCCTACCCATCGAATAAAAAAACTACTTCTGTAATAAATATATTTTAGAAAAATAAAAAAATTGACCTTAGAATAAGTTCTCAAACCTAAACTTTACTTAACAAACTTAAGTATCATTAAATAAAATAATAGGTATATAATCACAAATCGTCACCCTAAAAATTTACCCACAACAATACAGACCTCTATAATATTGTTATTTAAATAGATAGGCTAACCCTTTGAGCTTAAAAATAGGTTTTCCTATCTTTTTTTAACCAAATAATTATTTAATAAAACATTGACTTGACCTAATTGATGAATAATTTTGGATTAACTTTCTGATATAAACTAACCCATAAATGCTTAATAATAAGCTAACATATTTTCTTTCCTACTTGAATTCGACCCATTTAGACATAAGTCTTTGTTTTTAAAAAATTTACTCTTGACATGAAATTCAATTCAAAGCCCCAGTTTCCAAAAAGTATCGAATAAATTAATAAATATAGTTTTGAGACATTATAATAAAAAATTATTTGGTATTATTATTATAATTATTGTTGTTGTTATAAAATAAGTCAGATCATTAAATTTAAAAAACTTTTTTGAATTACCAAAACTGACTTATATAAGTAAATGATTTTAATCTAATTTGTTTAATACATAAGCTTATCTGAAGAATCAGTGGAGAACCTAAGTGCTTACGTTGTCACAATACAACTATAATTTCCAAGAAAAAAATCGATTTTGCATTAGACTTTATAAACTCTGGTTTTTGTTCATAAAATTCTTCTTTTTACAATTTTTTTCCTATTAAAAAACATGCATTTGGCCACCTAAGTCACGATTAAGTGCTTGAATTGAATGGATTTCAATAATCTGAATGATTGGCACAAATAATTAATTAAGGGATTAGAAGCAAAATCGTGACTTTTTATAAATCTATCTAAAATCATTCAAAATCTCAATTGATGAACTGCTTGTAATTCAAGTCTGTGAAGCAAGCTTTAGAAATAAGCTTGTGTTAGTCTCTGGCAAACCAATGGTATAGTTAGAAAGTTTCTATATTTGATTCGATTTCGATGTTAGAAGAAGCACCACAATGAATAGAAAATGACTAAGCACTTGCATACCTCATTTGGATCATGACATAAAGCTAATCATTCTATTTCTGATCAAATTAGAAATTATTTCGTTACATGGCAATCTTCTTCTCATTATTCTTACAAAGAACAACATAAGCTATCACTTATTCTATAAGGTTGATTTGGTCCACTTCATATATGAAGAACAAATGTAAACTAGAGTTATAAAATTATATATATTTAAAATATAACTAAATAGTCATTATTAAATTACATATTTATACATTTTTAAATGGTATACAAATTATTTTTCATGCTTGACCTTTATGATAATATTACAATAATTAACAATTACATTGATAATTTTTTTACATAAAAAGTTATCGGATGTGTCATTTGATTCTAACACAACACAATAAGAAGTGTGAGAGAGAAAAGCACTATATACATACATTTGTATTGAGATTATATAAATACTAATAACTTTAATTCAAAAGATCCTGTATATATTATTGTATAGAATCATTAATGCAATATTATCATAGCAAATTAATTTAATACATTTTTACTCCTAATGTATATCTATGTGAACTTTGATATATATTCTTCATGAGACTTGATCATCAGTCCACACATAAAATCATAATATTAAATTGTAAAAATACTAGTTTAGTATAACCTAAGTGATAGCTTAAGAAAAAATAAATTTGTCACCTTAAATTAATGTAATATTAAAAGTAAAATATATGTCAGAATCTTGTTGAATCTTTTTTAAATTTGAACTTTAAGGTGTCAAAATTATTCTCCTTTGTCATACCATACTAAAACAATGTTCTTCTCATTTTGTCATATTTTAAAATTCATTGAAAGAAATAACAACTTTCACCTAACTAAAAATTATAATAAAATACATTCATAATATTCTTCATAAAAAATCATGTTTAGTATTTTTTTTTTTAAATTATTAATTTTAACTTGTAAGGTGAAGTTTAACACTATTAAGTGTTCTTTCTATTCTAGTTAATTAAATAAATAATTTTCATTTTCATTTTTTTAACACTACATGTATCTTTTATCAAAAACAATTATATCTGGATAGGACTAAGACCATTATTAACAATAAAACTTTTCTTAAAATTATTTAACATAATTATATTCATGAGATTTAATCTGGAGATCACAAATTAAATAAAACAATATTATGTTAGTTGATCATGTGCTTGATGGTAATTTAACTTTAATTTAGAATAGAGTTTAAGTAAAAGTAATTAACAATAATAAAATTCAGAGATAGTCTAAGAATTTAAGTTATGTTTAATAAAAGTAACTTACAACTTATTTAGGAGTTTCTAATTAATTTATCGTCAATAATTTTATTCTTTTTCTTCTTTTTTTTATGTATTTCTTTGTTTCTTCTATTCAAATATATATATATAAAGATAAATTTTATTTTTTTATATAATTATTTAATTAACTGATCATAAATAAATAAAAATAATGATAATTAATTTAAATATTACATTGATATAATATTATATATCACATAAATAAAATATTTTTACAGTTAATCTACCAAACAATTTTAATTTTATAAATTATTTATATAACAATAAACTTATTTTACCAAAAATACCGTTTAACGTGATTATTATTAGTTGATTAAAAACGAAACCTGAGCAATAGAAGGAAACGAATGGGTGCTACCACCTATGCATCCAACACATACTGAATCAAACAATATGATAATGGACAAATTGTCTATGTCCACTATCAATCTAATTAAATTTTATTTAATATTTTTTATTATATTATAAATTTTATTATAAAATTATAAATAAAAACAATTTATTTAATATCATGCGTTTGTCTAATAAGTTAATAATTGTGAATATAATTATAATATTTTTAATGTGTAGAAATGGAAAAGAAAAGGTCAACTTGAGGTGGATCATCCCTTGTGTATCGGTGTTGGATAAAAATATAAAACAAAATACAGCTTCTTTGAGTTGTGCGTAATTTGCGCTTTTTTTATAATCTTATTATCTGTTTTTTCTTTTCTTTTCTTCATCTCCTTCCAAAGCAATTTCATTTCCTTTGTGCCCACAAATCCACTCTTCCATGAACTGGTACGTTATCTAAACGTGATTCTTATCTTTGTATCAAGTTCAGGAATCGCTTTCTCCTGGACCTTTAAAGGAGTGCAAGTACATATCATTGTGTCATTTGTCTTTTGGTTGCTTTTTATTATTATTATTATTCTATTTCTTCTGCATAACAAAGGAACTCTGTTTTTTTTGTTTTAAAAGATTTTATAGGTGATGATCATAATCATTTGACTAGTGCTTTAGGTGTCTATTGCTGCTTCTTTTTATCTGTTTTTGAGCTTTATTTAGGTATATACCTTTTTCTTCTTTTTTCCTTACAACTCATTTAAACATAAATTTATGACCAATTTGGATGTCATCCTATGTGTCAAGAATAATTAATAAGGATGATTTGAGAATAAAGGAGGGCTACATATTATTGGATCAGATGCCCATAATGTCCTTTCTTATTTTCAGGGAGCCATTTTGTTAAAAAAATGACTAGGGAGTTGGTATATCTTCTCCTTTAAACAGACAATTCAACGAATTCATCACAATTTCTTTTTCATTTTTTGTATATATTCATCCCAATTTCGTTACAAGAACTTACTTGATAAAGTAGAGTGCAACTTTATAATGCAACTAAAGTTATCTTATTCTCTAATGCACAATTTAAGTCTTTAAATATTGAGATATGATTTCTCTTTCGTAAAATGAGTTTCACTGTAAAACGTGTTATTTCAATAATTTTCTTTGAAATAAAAGTATTAATCACTTTAATCAATCAGTTATTACAAAATGTGGTTCTCTTTAATCTTTTGACCTTGTAAAGATAGGAAATAAGTGATTATATGAGGACTAAAATAAGATATTATTTAGCCAACTAACTAGCTTACTTTTTCATTTTTGACAATGTGCAGGTTCTTTCAAGGATTTATAAGCTGAGAAACACCTAAATAAATTATATATGGCAACAAAAGCTAAAGAAACTACTGCCATTGGGAAGGAGAAGAAGGCCCCATCATCAAATTCTCACATTACAACCACCAAAAGGACCACTAAACCATCCACAACAACAAATAACTCAACTAAGAAGGCAAACTCAATCCCAATAGAGAAAAACACCCCCAACTATCTAAAGCCCACATTAAGCTCACGCCTTGAATCCCCATCCCTCAAACACCCCAAGAGTGACACTCCCAATAAGCCTTCTCCAAATAGAAGAAATTCTTTAGACAAGCCACTTCCCTCTTCAAAGTTAACCAAACAAACACAGCCCTCTTCTTCAAGACTACAATGCCCACGAGAGAGGTCCTTATCACTTGGATCATCCATTGGCCCAATTAATAGAAGTACATACTCCTCCAAACCCATTTCAGGTAGGACCTCAAATACCCCAAGTGAAGTTAAAGCTAAGCCACTAGTTGCTAAGAGCACAAAGAAAAGCACCCCTAGCACTAAGAAAGTAGCTAATAATAATGAGAATGCTTCTGCTATCTCATCAAAGAGAACTTCTATAGAAACTTCAACTGTTGAAAGTGAGCAAGTTAAAGAAGTTACAAGTCAAGAATTTGAAGTAATAAAGGTGGAGAATGAAGAGCACATACGTGAGATTGAACATGTAACTGATATTTTACTTGATGTTGATTCTGAACATGAGCTTGGACATGTTCATGGGATTGACAACTTTCATCCAACTCATGATCAAGTTGATGATGAAGAAAGGGTCATTTCAACGGTGTCAGAAGCTGATGAAGCAGAAAAGGAGCCACAAGAAGTGAGAGAAAATGATTTGGAACAACATGAATTAGAAGAAGAGAATATAAAACAAGATGAAGGCAACAATAATGAGAGTGATCAACAAGAAGTCCATTCTTCAACTGAAGGAGAAATTAATGTTAATGGAAACGAAAATGAAGATGAAGGTGAAGGTGGAATGATTATAATAGAAGATCATAAAAGTGAAAACAAAAATAATGAGGAAGCAATAGAGGAAAAAAAGGAAGATGTTGAAAGTGTTGAAGAGGCTAAGGTGGAACCAACACAATTAAGGCAACAATTAGGAGCAAGTAGACAAGGGAGCAAGAAGGAGTCTCAAGTATCTAATGATGTGATTGAGGAAACTGCAAGCAAGCTTTTGGAGGCAAGGAAGAACAAGGTGAGGGCATTGGCTGGGGCATTTCAAACTGTTATTGATTATCAAACCACATCCAAATGAAGTATGTTACATATATTTCATGTGAGATTCATTTGCTTTGTTGACACATATTATGGATTTAAAGGAAACAACAATAGAAGAAAAAGTAACCAAAATCAGAACAAAGGGGTAAAGAAGTTACTCTGGTGCATGCCTAGATTTCTCTTCCTTCAAACTTTGGAGGGTTTATAAAAAAAGATTAACATTTAAAAACTCTCAAAAAAGAGTTATTATCACATAAAGCTTCTCTTTACTTCCCTTTCTCTTAATTGCCAAACAAAGCTTTAGGAAAATTGAAGTTGAATTCATAGGTTCTTCTGCACCTCCATTTCAACACAACCTGACAACTACATTCAAGAGTGAAATTGAACACTTACAAAGCAACATAAAAAGCTTAAACTATTGTTCCACTATGTTCTCAAGCTAGTGAAACTCTGCTCTTTGATCTTATTGGTACTATAACATGTAATATGAAATTATGAAATCACAAAAATAAAATTTCTATTTATGTACAGTTAATTTATGAATGGTAGAAACTCTGCTTTTTGTTCTTACGGCTATAACTCATCAAACTTTAATTTGTAATATGAAATCATTTAAATCACAAAAATAAAATTTTATGTTATATTTATGTACGGTTGATTTCTTGTTTCAACTTTTTTTTTTCTTATAAATAAAAACAAGTTAATTTATATTAGTGAATGTTTAGCATAGATTTTTAAATAAAAAATAACCTAAACATTTTGTCTAAAATCCAAAGTTTACGTTTCAAATTGTACTGTTCTTTCACACTTGTGTTAATTTTATTTTTATTAAGAAGTCTAGCATTTAATTGAAACTTATATGTTATATTTTCATAACAAAAATAATAATATTTAATTTGTTTAAATTTAATAAAATAGTTACAAAATATAATTTTTATTTTGTAACATGTAATCTTTAAAATCATAAAAATAAAATTTTATGTTATATTCATGTAGGATATATTGATTTGTTGTTTCAATTTTTTTCCCGCTTATAAACAAAAGTAAGTTAATTTATAATATACTTGATTTTTAGTCAAATTTTATCACAGATTTTTATATAGAAATAAATGAAGACGTTTATTGTGTTTTACACCTATTAATCTTAAGTTTATTAGGACATCATTTAATTGAAAAATAAAATAAATATTCTAATTTGTACAAATCTTATCAAATTATAAATTTCGTTTCTTTTGAAAAAATTCATGAACGTGAAATTATTTTAAATATTTAGTAAAATAATAAAAAATAAAAATAAAATTATGAATAAACTGGTTTATTAACAAAGGAAAAAGAAAATTTACTTTGCATTCATAAAATATTTTTATAATAAAAAAAAATAATAGTTAAATTAAAAGTTGAATGATAAGTAAAAAACTGTTTTATTGCTTCTTATATAAATGAAAAATAATAAAAATATCATTAAAATATTTAAATAATCAAAATAGTAATATACAGAGCTTAAATTTAGTAAATAGCAACAAAATTTAATTTTCATTTTGTAACATGAAATATGTGAAATCACAAAAATAAAATTTTGTATTATATTTATATACAGTACCCTGATTTCTTGTTTCAACTTATTTTCTAACAAGTTAATTTATAATTTACTTAACGTTTAGCCAAATTTTAGCATAGATCTCTATACACAAAATAACGTAGACATTTTGTCGAAACCAAAGTACACGTTCAAAAACTGTATTATTTTTTATACTTGTATTAATCTTATTAAAAAATAAAATAAACACGTTTTTGGGGGAAATCTTATTGAAGTATGATTTTTCATCCTTTTAAAAATATTTTAGTAAGACTGTAAAATTATTTTAAACTATTTAGTAAGAGAGTAAAAAAAAAATTTGAATGAGCTAATTTATTGATATACAAAACTTATAAGAAATTAAGTTTTTTAATCAGAAAGAAGTTGGAGAAGTGCAAGATCTACTTTGTATTTATAATATCTATTAAAATACAATAATAATATAAATTAACAGTTAAATTAAATGTGGAATGATTAACGAAAAAGTACTTTTTTTATTTCTTAAATAAATGAACAATACTAATAATCTCACTAAATTATTCAAATAACAATATTAATAAAATAGTAACAAAATATATATATTTATTTAGCAACGTGAAATCGCAAAAATAAAATTGTTATATTTAAATACAGTAAGTTGATTTCTTGTTTCAACTTGTTTTCTAGCTTATATTTAAAAACAAGTTAATTTGTAATTTACTTGATGTTTAGCTATATTTTAGCATAAATCTATATATAGAAAATCACTTATCATGGTTATATGCAGCCATGCAGAGTAAAACATTGCAGTGTCAATTTATATGCAGTGTGCTAATAAAAACTCATTTTCCTCTACGAAAGACACCAAAGTATTTTTTATCTGACTAAAAAATAAATAATACCCATTTAATCTTAATATTATAAGTGTTGATCATATCACTTTAACTTCATATATAATTCATTTTAATCCTCAATTTAAAAAAAAAAAAAAAAAAAAAACCCTTGTTTGAAACGCTACTTGATAATGACTATTCTACTCAAAAAAGAAATGGTCCAAATGTTCCTAGAAATTCTTGCTCCTATTATACCATTTGTATCTATATGCATTAAGATCTTGATTCATGGATCTCTCCGTTCAATAAATAAAAATAAAATCGAATTGTTTCCATTGACTTTTTTCATTTTAGTCCTTTTCTATTTCATTTTTCATTGAGATTTTATACATAAATGACAAAAATTAATGTCATTTTGTAAAATTAAATATCAAAATGAGATTTTATAGGGTCAATGACTAAAATATTGAAACTTACGATTTGGTAAAGTAAACGTTATACTATCTTTTGCATACCGGAAGGTCTTCCCCGGTTACTTCAGATACAGGTGTGATAAGCCTACTCAGTTGTTCTGATGTAAAAACTCCAACTGCTCTAGATCTGTGTAAGGTAGTAGCATATGAGTTTCTGTAATTTACAATAATAACCATCGTATATCGCTTCTCTAAAATTAAATCAACTACACGACCAACAGGTGTTGATGTCGTAACACATGGAGGTGGACTTCTCATCATTGTTGCAAGTGAAGCATCCAACTGCATTGTAAATTCATCCCACAATCAAATAGTTAGAGCCATTCAGAAAGTAAATTTCGATTAAATGAATAATTATGATTCAAGTTGTGTTCATGTCAACTTAGACGTGCATATATACAACACAAGCACACAAACGGGGAGCAGGTGCATCAATCTTCTAGACCACCGAACGTTAAATCATCAAAATAAGTTGTCAAGAGTAAATTTGGGCAACAGGTTAAATCAATAGTTGAAATGGATGACATTATAATTATATATTTTATAAACATATTAAAATAATTATTATGGCCATATATAATCAATCATAAATACACAAAAAATGTGCCGAGTATCAGAGTTTGGCCAGCAAATACAGGGGCGGAGGTGCAAACACAATTTGGATGCTCTTCAACTGTTATTTAGCCACTATTCGAGCCATACGAAAATGCTATGCTATGGCATAATACAGCAACACTTCAACACAGCACTATGACATTGTGCTGTATAATATAGTTCAGAGGAGACACCCTCCACACATTAACCATGTGCATAATACACTTGGTTCTCAACATGTTAAAATTCCACACTAGTTTATACACTATACCTCAAGAAGCTATGGCATTGTACTGTGTGTAAGTTTCCTGTTTAAAATTTCACACATACAACCTAATCTTGCCAATTCTCACTAGCGGAAAGAATTCAGTAGTATTGTTGAAGTACCCCAAATCGTTGTTAAAGAAACTAATGAAAACTACCGTGTCCTTTCATATACACACATAATAATTTAGTTATATGTTATAATTCAAGGGGTACATTCAATGGCCCAAGATAGAAAGTAGACAGCTTTTACACAATCCTATTAGCTTCTCTCCACATCAATGACTTAAGGAATAAGTTCATCAATTAAAACTAGTAGACTTTTGCATGCATGTATTATAACAGTATTTGGTGACATGGTAATCTCACAAAGCAGAGATCCCAAGCCAACATATAATGGGTACCTGGTTGCAGTCTTCACGGTGCAACAGCCCTGTACAACTGCCCCACTCATCTACAATAGGAACTACCGTTTCACCAAAGAAACGCATAACCACTTTTTCCAGCTTTAATGAACCTAGTAGTGGCCTTGTTGCTTCAAATGGTATCATATAATTCTCAATTGGCTCAGAAGGTGAAACCTAAACCAAAGAGGGTCCACAATTAGCCAAAATACAAGCTCTTCTTGCATAAACTATCTAAAATACAATGCAATGAAAATCAAAAAGTCACTTGAAGACCAAAGGCATGACAAACATGAGAAATTGTGAATATACATAAAGATAAACATGCATGAAAGCCTGCAATATTTTAAGCTTTTAGGCAAACCTGTTCCTTTAACCACACATCTTTATATGCCCGTACAAACAAGTGAAGCATATTTGTTAATCAATATCAGATCAATGACACCTTGTGCAAAGGATGTCAATGAAACTTATGGTAAGTACCTGAGGCAGTAAGTGAGGACTGAATAATGACTTTGAGAATCCCAACATGGCCTCAATACGATAAGCAACCTAAATTACAAAAGCATGGGCATCTGGTTAAAAATCCAAATTATTGACAGCGTTGACATATTAGGAAAGAAAAATATTCAAGAAAAATTTACTTCCTGACAAAATTTGACAGCTGAACTACATGTGATCCATAGTAATATTTATAAAAGAAACATGAAGATACACCAAAAGCTTTCGAAGAGCTACAGCTGTGCAAAAGGAACTTTCTTTGCATTCTTAAATAAAGGACACCACAATTTCAGTTCTAGGAGCAGTTGTCCAAAAATTAATATGATAGGGAATACACTAGATAATAGATATGCAAATCAAGGTTAACACTTTTAAAATTTAATAATGGGATCTGATCAAAACCACAATTTATAGACCGCTACATTACACACCATGCCCCCACGACTTGTCCAGGATATGCCCTTCCATCTTGAAACAATCTCAGTAAGAGTTTTAATAGCAACATCAACCTGGCAAAGAAACACAGATGCCAAAAACATAAAAAAGTTGAGAATTATTAACATCCCCAAGGCCAACGAAAATGTTGAAAAATAGAAACAACAGGAAATTAAGTGAAATAATTGTCTTAAAACAAAAACAGAAAGTGATAAGTGAAGATTAAAGTAAGTAACCAACTTGCCTTAGAAAAAGCAAGTTAGTAATAGTAACCAACTTCTACTGCATGAAGTCAAATGCACAAGCATTATACATATAACAATTAATTTCACAAAGAAGAAAACCAATAATATGAATTATGGATTATCATCACACAAGATTGCATAATAGATTATTAAGGATTATCCTACAAAAGTGAGGCTTTATTTGATCTTTAATGTTACTAGACTGAAGCAAAGCCCGTTGATTTTTGTTCGACATTTTAAACAGCAGAATATAATAAATCACTTTTAGTTTTAACTAAATTTTATTAGTTAAGTTATATTTATAATATTTTAATAAAAAAATTCATATTAAAATGGAAGAGATAAAGAATAAAAAAGAAAATATTTTAAAAGAATCAAATACTAAGATAATAACAATGCTCAAACTATAATTTTTACCCACCATTTTCATACATATAGTAGATTTTTTTATTCTTTGCCTCTGCTTTATAATCTCCAAATTGCAATATTTTTTGGTGAATTTTTACTTCCTAGAATATATTTCTATAATTTATTGTCCTCGATGTAAGTTATTAGCTTCATTGTTTATATTCAGCAGATTATTTTTAGCATTTTTTTTTTATATATTTTGTGTTTCATAATATTACCACCATGCTTCCACCATTCCATGCCATGCCACCCACAGTTATCTATAGCAGAATTTTGGCTCATCGCCATACATTATTTCTGACACTGTTTACTTAACATGGCCTTACGAATTGTACTCTATTACTCATTATAAACTTGTACTACAAGCTGTAGTGCTGAACACAGCTTCCTCTCTAGATATTAATAATACATAAATCTAAGGTGCTAGACAATTATATATCAAGCAAAATAAAGGTTCTCTCTCTCTCTGTGCTTTCTTTATACATTTTAAAAACACAACCAACAAGGGAAAACCAAAAACTTTCCCATCTTAACATCAATGGCCAATTGTGAAAAACAGAAGAAGAAAAAATAGTACCCAGCCAGCATTCAGTGCTGCTTCCATGAGAAGGTGATCAGCTTCTTCTTGGGCAACTAGTAATATGGTTCCTGCTGAATCAGGCCAAATCCGTTTATGCAAATTTTTAACTAAATCATAATCTCCTTGCAGAGCAAATGCACGCATCATGGAAAGATAGAGGTGAGGTTTTGGCCTCAACTCTGGATTCCGACCAACCTGCTTCAGCATTTCTCCAAAAATACAGAGAGCACCTAAATGCCCAAAGATGATTTAATTAGAAAAGGAACAAAACACAAATTCATCAATTACTAAATGAAACAAAAGGATGAACAACAAGCACAATGAGTATCTACATCATGGGGGAAAGAAATAAGAGAAATATAGTTGAAAAGGTGTACTTTTTAGATGGATAGAAATGAAAAAAGAAAGAAATGGAAAATTGTCTCTTACTTTGGTTTAGGGAAAGAGTTAGTAGAAGGAAATAAAGAATGTGTAAAGACATCCTTGCCCTTATGTAGGGAAGAAAGAAGAATGGGAGAAATAGAGGATAAAAATGTACACAGCTGAGGCCTCCATGCAAAAAGGAAAGAAATGGAAGAAATCTCTCCATGTGAAGAGAGATACATAGCCCAAAAATTTCTCTCCTACATTTTTGTCCCCACCCAAACAATAAAAGTCATATTTCCACCCTATCACCTTTTACTCTCTCTCTCTACTCTATTTCACCCCATACAAAATTCCAAATAATGGATAACTATTTTATGAGGAAAATAATGCAGAATATCTACTCAGACAGTACAGCACAAACAAGCGTCTAGCAGTTGAAATTCGGTCAGCAAGCACCATCAGCTGACATATTTAAAATAGGAAAATCCTATATAGTACAAATATTTTACACGAAAAAAAGAAAGAGAAATGGTAGGTTTTTAAGCAGTTACAATGTAAACTGCCTTTTATCATTCTACTGAGTGAATGGTCAGACTTTTTGTGATGAAAGATTGGTACCAAATATCACCGCTCTTTCAAAAATGAAGAAAAACTGCAGCTTTTTTCTTTCTTCTTTTTGTTTCACTATTCTTTCTTCGTCCAGATACATACTCACAAAGGAGAGAGCTTAAATTTTTAGATAGCTTAGCAATTCAGTTGCCTAGAAGTTTGAGTTATCCTTGTGAGGGAATATGACTCCAGCAAACATGACCATCAATTACATTTTTTTTTCTCACAATGTTAACCTAGAAGAACAACAGCAATTGAATAATATTTTACCCCTGAATTCAATAATTCCACAGGCATAATTTCAATTATTAGCATCATTTAGCAACATCTTATTCAACTTGTCAATAGAAAAGGAACTACCATAAACAATAAATTTTTGTTATTCCTCAAACTATCTCTATGCAACTAAAGAAACTATGTATCAATTGTCAAATGAAAACATACCCTTAACTGAGCCACAATTTAGTAAAGCGTCAATTATTGCAGTGTAAGCAGTTCTATCAATGTATAATTCATGACAAGATTTCATTTCCAGCACTATCTTCAGAACTGAAGCAAGATCCTTTGCTTGCCCAAAACCCTGCATTAAAGAAAGAAAAACTGAGGGAGGGAGAGAGAGAGAGAGATGCCAGAGAACCCTCCAACACCCAAACCAGCATGTATAATAGACCAAAATAAATTTTCTTTAAATCAAATGTTAAAAGAACATTGGTTAAATGACTATTTAAATCATAAATAAACATAAATATCCATCAAATAAAAACAACTAGAAGTAACAGAAAACGGTGAAAACAACTCTGGAAACTACCCATCACAAATTTCTTCAGCATAAAGCAGAATTTGAACTGATCAATTCATAGTTTTATACTATAAAAAATTGCAAGCGAACAAATTTGAGAAATCTGACCTTAAGCATTGTCGTATATGTAACAATATCTGGAAACAGATCATCACAGATGAATTTCTGTGCTTTGTCCTGTAAATATCAAGGATTGAAATTACAAAACATTTTCATATTTCCCCACCAAAGAAAGATTGAACTTAAATTTCAAATACATCCGCATTACCTTCATTTCCTCAAAAAATTGCATTGCAGTATCCAACTTTTCACTCTGGACACATGCTAAAATTAGTGTGTTATACGTGAGCCTGTCAGGCATTATGCCTTGACGTAAAATTTCATTGAGCATGTCTATTGCAGTGAGTGGATAGCCTGAGTTTATGTATCCCTAAATGTTGGAAAAAATAAAATAAAAAAAAGCATCAAGATTAAATTCCACTATGACTAATATGGGCAATCCCTACTACTTCAACATGCCATTTACAGTGAAGCTTTTTTCCTTACAAGATCATGGATCAGAGCAAAACCTTCATTAGTATGTTGTATACTGAAACTGAAAAATTGCCACCTTCGCGGAGCACAAAACCATATCGAGCAAGGAGGCCAGCTGCACGACGCAAGTTTCCTGCACTATATATAGCATTGCAAGTAAAACATCACTGGTCAACATGAAGCTATAAAATGTCTCGATAGAATCAAACCAGAACAACAACTAGCACCTTAAAAAATGAAAAATTATCCATATGCTAAATTTATCCATGGTTGGTCAGTTGAATTACTGAATTACATGCAAAACCTGACTGTCTGACTCACCTGCTTCGATTAAGGCATTTAGCAGACCAAAGATCAATGGAGCAGACAACTTTGGACTTCCCGTTGCAGTACCATTTTCCACAGATTCAAGCAATTCAAAAGCTTCATTGACCCTTCCTGCCTCACCTAACCCCTTATATAATATGTCAAGTAAAATTCCAATCAAGCTCAGAAAGAACAGATAATTAAAGAGCATATAGCATTGAATCATCAGATAATAAAAGCGAAACTGTTTGTGAGACTATTACACAGTTTGGTTCAAATGAAGGGAAGAGAGGGGATGGAATTTAATGGAGGGAACAGGAGGGATTTTAATGGAAGGAAGAGATACCTTGTTTGGTTCACAAGGGGTGGGGAGGAGAGATGAAATAAATGAGTTTACTAATATACATATTAAATTAAGGATAATTTTGTCGAATTAGTTAAACAATTTATCTACCCTCCAAATCTTCCCAAAGGGGAGCTAAAATTGATTGAGGGGGTATTTTGGCCCCCTCTTCTCCCCTCATATTCCTTCCAAGATATAAAACCAAACATAAAAAAGATTATAAAATCCAAATACAATATGTTAAGGTACGTTTGGATTGAGAAGTTTAGAGGAAAAGGAAAGGGGCAGCACTTACCTTACTTTTTCATTTTGTAAATGAATGTCATAAAATGATTGTAAACCTTAATAAGGAAAAACGGGAGGATACTTTTATTTTAAAATATCCTCAAGTATGAGAATATATACAATAAAAATGAAAGATTTTTCTTGAAATGAAAATGTTGAGTTACCTTCACTTCATCCAAACATACCTTAGTTAACATGGTATCATTCAGACTATATTTTGCAAAAATAGCTGAAAAGCTAATTTTTAGTGAAAAGTTGTTAAGATAGCTTATTAAATTAAAAGTGTTAGAAAATAACAATTGAACTAGCTAATAAATGTAAAATGACATAAAAAAGACATTTGTACAATTTATTTGCCATGAAGATAAAAATATATATTTGGGTCACTATAGTTTTAGGTTTTTAATTAAGTTTGAACACTTACTGCTTTTGTCTAAAGATCAAATGTTTTTATTTTTTGTCTAAACTGTTGCATAGGAGAGTTTTCAACAGGGAGCCTCACAATGAATAGGACACCATAATATAACTCCAAAACCTTAAGGCAATGGGTGCATCTCCTTATAAACTCCTAACTTGCCCATATCTCATTCCATATGAGACTCAATTTACACTTGATTCCAACACTCTCCTTCAAGTGTGAACTTATCTATTTCATATTGGCTCCCTCTACAATGGAAGTTTTCTCCATCACGAGTATCCATCATGGTTTACACCAGATCAACCCTTGATCTCTTTCACGTGGGCTGTCGTCCATTCAATGACACTTTTTGAGCTTCACACCCTCTGCATGTGGGTGTCACAAGCTCTTTGCTAGGGCTCATCTAGTGTCACCATTTTTTCTACAATGTACTCTCACATTGACCATGGGAGACACACTATCACCTCTCTTTACCGCAGCTCATCTACTCGTCTGAGTCGATTACCTGGATTGACCTAGCTCTGATATGACTTTTGGATAAGGGAGTAAGGAATCTCACAATTAGTTGGACAACACATTACAACCCCAAAACCTTGAAGCAATGGATATATGGATCCATTAACTTGCCCATATCCTATTTCCTCTTAGACTCAATTCACACTTGATTCCAATATAAATTACACATATCCTCCACCAGAGGCAATCATGTTCAAGTTGTGTTCGACTACTATAGGTAATGTTTAATTAAAATTAAAAAAAATAATAAATAGTGTAATACTAAAGAAGATGGTAAATGAGAAATTTTATTAAAAAATTGGAGATAAATTTTTTGAAAAAGTTATAAAATCTATAAGTTCAAATCCTTCTTCAAGTGGCCTCCAAAAAAATATTACTAACTAATAGAATAAACTTACTTACGAAACACTTCTTTAACTTATTAGTTAGTCAAATTAAGTATAAACTAACTGAAATCACTTATCAAACACACTCTCAGTTACTTCAGCAGTTAAACAACCATAATACTTAATTAAAAAAACAATGGAAATTATGGAAAATCTTTAAAACAGGACATGCGGAAACCATGAATACCTTCACAAGCGTGGCATAGGTGACAGTATCGACGCCACAACCATCAGGGTTTCTCATCTCCTCGAATATCCTAAGCGCCGAATCAATGTCACGGCAACGAACACAAGCCTCCATCACCGCGTTCATCACTATCGTGTTCAGCTTCCCCAAATCCTTCTTCGCAACCTCAATCTCATCCAAAATCTGTACCCAACAAAATTTTCAAAAACATCAAATTCAGAATTATTCCACATTTATCTTTTCATACATCCAAACATTCCCTTTTTATTATTAATTTTCATTTAATTTTTGGCTTACCTGGCGAAGCTGTTTTCGGCGAGTGAGATGAACGATACGCGAAGTGAGGCGCTTGAGATTGGTTTCACGCGGAGTGGTGGTCCTTACCAAACGACGCCGTGTAGGAGTGGAAGAAGAACAAAAGAGAGGAACATGTGAGGAATGAAGAGGCTTAGAGTGGAGTGAGGTCGTGAAGGAAGAGAAAATGTGAATGTGACTTCGAAGCATTCTCGATGGTACGAGAACACGCTGGCTAAGGCTTCGCTATCGCTAACCTTTCGCCATGGAAATGGAATATTGAAGCACTGTGTCTGTGTGTAATCTGTAATCACTTACAGGGGGAAACATGAGATAGGCGTGTGGTGGATATGGGGTTGGGTCCATTTCGATGTTGGGCTTTTGTAATAGGCTTGGTGGACCCTACTTTATATGGCCCAATGATCAGTGACAACACTACGGTGGGCCCCTTCCTCTACTGTAACGGAACACTACGCAGATTCATGGATAAGAATTGTTATCCTATAATTTAAATATAAAAGTAAAAACAAAAAACAAAAAAGTAAACAAGAAAAGGAAAAATTCACTATGACGGGTGCTAAATTTATTGTGGTAAATTATTTGTTTATTTCTAAGTTTAGTGTGATTTTAATTTTTAAGATAATTTTCATAAATTACATTCCTATTCCATGGTTGCTCCATGTTTCTCATCTAGATCTAATGCTTTTGATAATTACAAACTTAAACTTTTATAGTTCTTGTTTTGAGCCTAAGTGTGAATAGTGATTATGTGTCCAAGCTTCATGTTCTAGAATAGGTTCTAGATATTAATGTTGTGCTTTCCTCAAATGCTTTTTTTTAGCTGTTTTGGTTTCTCCTTCTACTACAAAACCTTTGGCAATGGTTTCAATTATGCTCTTAGTGTATGGATTCTTTTATGAATCATCGAATGAAGGAGAGCTTGGTGTTCCATGTTCATCATATCCTCCTTTGAAAGTTTGGCTTTCCTTATTTGTTGTGGTTTCAATGGGTCTCAAGCTGCTACCTCTTTTGTCTCTCCTTAGTATAGTTTTTCATGAAGTTCTTCCATGATATTTGGCAATATTTTGACTAATTAAGAATCTAAATCCCTTATGGTGTGGCATTTTTTAGTGAATCTCACAAAGAAATCTCTAAGTAATCTTTTTGTCCCTAGCTTGTACAGACTAAACAATGTCAACACTTGGAATGCTCAATTGTTTGTGGTGAAATGTACTTTAAACTACCATTATAATTCCTCCCACGAATATATGGAGTTCTTGGACAAGGATGGAACTCATCACCTTGTTGCCTTCTTTATAGTGAGAGGAAGCACTCTACATATGATCTTCCTGGGAACACCATCGTGAACACAAACTCACTAACTATTGTAGATATTTTATCATATAATTGAAAATTTTAAAATCATGTTAAATCAGAAGAATTATATATATATATATATAAGAAGTTTCATGAAATAACGAGAATGTTAACGGTTCTGTCATCTCATATTCAAACACAATATTTTAGTTCATGTGGTTGTGCTATATCTCATCTAACCATGTCCCATCCTAAATTTCATTCACAACCATTAACCGCCGTGAAACTACTGTCAATTTTGAGCTGAGCAGAATAGAATTTTCTAGGTACGCGCTTCGACGTTGACCCATTGACCGTTTGATTGACCGGTTTGTCATCTCTTCTCCACTCGTCTAGAAGAATCTTCATTCTTCCACACACCACTAACTCACATTCCCCAAATGGCTCTTTGCCTCACTAATATAAATAGTGTTCAACCTGTAAAAGACCCTCAAAGCAAAACACAACCTAGTATTAATTTGTACGAGTACGTACCTAGTTGACACAAATTGTGATGTGTTTGGTGTTTGTGTGTGACGAGGAAGAGAGGGTGTTGGGGAGGCAACAAGCACCAGGGGCATGTCCTTATTGTGGAGGGATGGTTCAGGCCATTGATGTAGAGATCCAATGGAGGTTCTGTTTTCTGCCGTTTTGCTTTAAGACCAAACGTAGATACTGCTGTTCCATGTGCTCAAGGCGACTAAAGGTGGTGTAACAAGTGATCATATCCAAAACACTTACATAGATACAAAGATTTTGAAGAAATCAAAGTTTATCATTTGCTTTCCCTTTTTTCTAGCAAAATTTTTCTCTTTTTGTGTGTATATCGAGGTTGATTGATTAGTAAGTGTCTTTTGTATGAGTCATAGTTCATACTTGTAAATCCTATTTCAATTCTTTTAATAGTACAATGAATCTTGCAGCCTAAGAAACACTGCTGTAGATTTTGAATTTTCGTATTTTGTGTGACACATTCTAATGGCATTGGGTTTAAGTGGGAATTGTTATGACAAATTGCATCGCTGATACAGGGAGTGGTATTAGTTTTTGGAATTAAATTGATTTGTTAAATCAAGGAGATAGTCAAACCAATTAAATGTTTTATTAAATATTGAGTTTTCTTAATTAGTGTTCTTTAAATAGTGATTCAAGATATATTTTCTTTGGGTATCCACAAACAAAGCTAGTTTCTTTAAAGCAAACGATGTATTTTAGAAAATAAAATGTAAGCATATTATTTTTAGTTATAAATTAGTCTAATGTTAATATTTTATTATATATAAATACATTTCATCATAATATAAGCCATTAATTTTTTATATGATAACTATAACATTAGTGTAAGCATTCAATTTGGTTCTTAAAAAAATTACTTCACTCAAATTTTTTTAAAAATTTATATAATAATCCAGGTTATAAACATGGAATACTTTAAATTTTGTAATCTCTTTTCTGTTTCTTGATATACATCAAGTTAGTCCTTAAAAAATGATTAAAAACTAAAATTGGTCCCTAAAATATTACTTGAAGAAAATGAAGGATTAAAATGTATTATATTTAGAAATTTTGGAGGACAATTCTATAACTTTTTTTCCTAAACTAAAGTTGGTTGAATAATTTTTGTAAAAATCAATTTTGGTAGTACACTTGTAGTTTTAGAGCACAGTTGAAAAAAAAAAAAAAAAAAAGCTTTTGTGATCCAAATAGCACTCACATTGAATTGGGTGGGTGGGCATAACGTGTCCCTAATTGCAATGGGGGCACCATGCATGATTGTCATGCTGCAACTTCCCCACCAAAATCTTGTCAAAGTTCCCATTTTTACCTCCAACACTTGAGAATCTTTATCAGTAACATAGAATAACATAAAAACATTGTTTTCAGTCTTGTAATCGTTATTAGAACATTGTTTTTCACGACACGCACTAAATAATTTTTTGATAATTAATGATAATAGACTCAAAATATGACAGAACATAAGTTTTTCTCCTTGTTGCGAAGAAATAAAGAAAAACAAAAACAAAAGACTAGTCCCTTAAGAAAGCAACACTACCAACACAGTCACACATATTAGCCTTTTGGATAAAACTTAAGCTTAATAGTTTTATGATATTTCGGTATATTTTTCCATTAAAATTAGTTATCCAAATAGAATTTTAATTTTAATTCAAAATAATACACTTCAAGTAATATTCTTATATTTTACCTCCACAAAAATAAAATTAACAAATAAAAATATTGATATATAATAATAGTAATATCGTTGGGCACTTTATTATAATTATTACATGGAAAAAGTTGTTAGTTTTTATAAATACCGTGAGCTTTCTATTAGAGCTCGATTATTTTTTGTTTTTAAAAATATTTTCTTTTAAAAGTAAAAAAAAAAGGGTTTGTAAACACAAGTTTTATTTAATTAAAAAACAGTTTTTTAAATCATTTTAAAAGATAAATTTTAAAAATTAAAAACCAAAACAGAAACAAACAAATATTTTCTCTATTAATATATATTTTTATTAAATACACTGATACTATAAAAAAAAGTATATTATTATTTAATTATAAATCATAATGTAAACAAATATTAATTTTTATAATAATTGTTATAAAAATTATACTACTGAGTATTCTATTTAACTGACGATATAAAAATTCTAAACTAAGAATGCATTAAAATTAATTTCTTGATATATTCATAAAAATATTTAAATAATAATAAAATACATATTTAAGAATAACAACAGACGCATACATGAATAGTACGTATGAATACATATTTTATTATATTAGAGATTACAGCTCTGAATTGATAAGCACCAGAGAATTGATTTACTTAAATAAATGAATGGATATTATTAATAATATTATTATAATATATGTTTTATGTGAATGGGATTCATGAAAAGTCATGCTCACCCATCTCATTCATTCTCTTACCCAATAGGAAATGGGTAGGAAGATGAAGGAACCAACTCGTGTTATTCTTTCCTACCAACACTTCAAATTCCTTTTTTATTCCAATTATACCAATTTTGGGACAACTCATAAATATTTATCAACATTACAGTATTATGACTATACATACATACATACATAATGTGTTAATAAATATATAATGTAACGATATTAAATATTTCATTTAATGTTTTACAATTATTTTCTCAATTTGTCTATTTTATAAAACATCACATTTATTAAGAAATAAAATCAATATTATCATTTGCATTTAAAGTTATTCTTAAAATTTAATATAATTTGCATTAATATTTGTCCTCAATATGTAAAATATTTAATAATTAGGTAAAAATAAAATATAATAATAGTAATATCTAGACTTACTATTGAATGGATAAATACGAAGAATGCATTTTCATTTCAACCAGATTGAGCCAAGATATTTTAAAGTGTAATCATTAAATGACTTATATTTTTAATATAACAGATAGTTTTCTTAATAAAGTGGTTCTTTTTTATTAAATATAGAGAGAATAAATAATTTTAAATAATAATAATAATAATATTTATATCACCCAATCATATATCAATAGACTAGAGTAAGGGATAAGATATCTCATAGATACGTCGAGTATTGGACCTACTGAGCACCTTTCCATTGCCATTGGACACTTTCCTCGCCACAGTTCCCACAAAAAAAATCTATCAAGAAATTTTTATATAAAATAATTACAAGAGAATAAACAATATATTTTAAATATAAATAACAATAAATACACACGAAAATCTAAGCTTGTTTATTTAAAAAAACAGTGTTTTCTTTTTAAAAATAAGAAAATAAAAATTAATTATTAATATAAGTTTTATTTTTATTTTTAAAAAAATATAAATTTATAAATATTAAAAACAAAAAGCGAAACAAACAAAAGAATCATTGTTCTTCACTTGGAACCGTAGAGTTATTAATTTTATTGGGGCAATTGGCTATTTGTCTTTCTATCTATTAATACAATTCCAACATCCATATGTGATATGGCTAAATGAGGCAGCCATGCTCTCTCATGTCATTATATTGACATTTCATTACTTTTAATTAATGGACCCACATCACAGCCATTAACAATTCTTCATTTTCAACTTCTAATTAATAATAATAATAATAATAATTTGAAATGGATTGTCTAAATAAGTCCCAAAACAAAATTTCTTTTTTACAAAAGGATTAAAAAACTAAACTAAATTAAAAAGAGTATTTACACAGAAAATACAATAATAATGTAAAACACTAATTATCCTTATCTTCTTCTTCCTCATCTTGGGCCTCCTCATCATGCTCTTGCAGATCTGCAAGTGAAAGGCTTCTTCTATTCTTGAAGCTACCGAGTCTAAGCCTCATGTGAGCGGCATAAGAAAGAGGCACTGTGTTCAAAACTTGATCTTGCGGTTTCTTTTCCTCCGCGGGTGAAGAAGAAGAAGAAGAAGACGGGGTCACTTTTTTGGCTTTCTCTGCTTCATCATATCCATAATCATCATCTTCATCAACGGGTAAAAGGGGCATTGACTTTGGGTTTGACCAACTATAAAAAGAGGATCTTCTTGACCACTTGGATGCTATCAGAACCCTCCTTCTCTTGTTAAACGGGTTCTCTTGCTTTTCAAGTTCCTTCACTGTGCTCACTTTAGATAGATCCGTGAATGACTTTGATTTCCCAACAAAATGGTTCGATAATCCCCTCCTGCATCGCTTGTAATAAATTATCACATACCCTTATTAGAACCAAAAATTGCAACATAAAAACACACAAAACTATGGCTATGGGCACTCAAAATAACAGCAAATTTGAAGTAATAAAGAGGGTATTAAAATTATTACATAAAAAAATTGTAAAAGAAAATAAAGAATCAAGAGGGTATCTAAAATCTAAATTTAAAATTTAAAATATTATATATATATATAAGGAGTGAAGAAAAGCACTAACTTGATGGAGAGAGATTCTTCTAAGGAATTGAGAGAGTTCAAACCCTTCAACTTGCTCTGAACCTCTTCTTCTTCTTCTTGGGGCGAAACGTTGTCGTTTTCGTCCTCGCTGTCGTCCGGGGTGCCGATCGACGAGGAGCTCTCCGACGAGTCTCCGGCGTACGACGGCGGCGGAGACGATGGAACGTCGATGGTGAAAGTGGGGCCCGCAAGAACATCCATTATCACTAGCGACTGGTAACCGAAAAGAAAAACAACGAGCGAGGAAGACACAGAGAAATACGAGGTTGAAACTCTTAAGGTTGTTCTCTGAGTTGTTGTTGTTGTCGTGTTGGGTTGAGAGTGGTCACGCGGAGACTCGTTAAGTCGACGGTTTCCTTTTGGAATTGCGAATTTAAGAAAATAATGAGACGAGTGTAAGAAGAGAAGTGATGGGCGGACACACGCCATCATAAACAATTAACTCCTATAATTTTATACTTTTTTTTTTAATATATATATATATATACCATCATAAACAATTAACTCCTATAATTTTATACTTTTTTTTTTAATATATATATATATATATATATATATATTGTCTCATTAATTATATTTTTAATCTAACTTTATCTTCGTTAATTTAACATTTAAATTTTAAATTTTAAACAATTGTTTTTATATAAAAATAAATGACATCATGATAATATTTTTTCACGTGGTACATCAAATTATTTATATTATTACATTTATTTTATTTTTTTTATTTTTGTTGTTGTGTGTGTAAGAAAAGTGAGATATGCTTATACATGTAAAATTTATATAATTATATTATTTAATTGTTTTATAAAATGTGAAATTAATTTAATTGTTCATTTAAAATTTTTGTATTAATAGATAAATTTTAAAAAAATTTAAACAAAAATAATATAAAAATACTTTATTGTATTATTTTAGTTCGACACTTAATATAATTTTCAAGTATAAAAAATCAAATTTAAATAACATGTTCAAATTATATATATATATATATATATAAAGTAATTTATTAATTAGATTAATATTTTTTGTATTTTATAAAATATTATTAAATAATAAATATTTAATATCAATGAATTAAATTATGTATAATTTATTTTTTCTTTTTTTCTCCTAATTCTAAAAAAAATATAAGTATACATATAAAAATATAGATAGATGAAAAAAAAAGGAGTGAGAAGAGAATAATAATTTATAAGCTACTACTTTCGTTTATTAATTACCTATTTTAGAAAATTAATTAAATAAATTATAAAATAAAAAATTTATATTGTTCAAATTATTAATTATTTTTTAGTTTATCTTTTATTAATATTTTTTAAAGTGATAGAATAAAATAAATATTTTATATTAAAATTAAGATTAATAAATAAACAATTAATATTATCTTAAATTTTTATATTGATATATAAATAAAAATTATGAAAGTTATAGCTATTTAATTTTTCTTTAATTTCATATATTAGTCTCTCAGCATGCAGGGACCAACCTATGTAGGTTTTAGGAGCCATTGCCTCTTAACATTTTTATTATTTTATATATTAGTTCAGTAGTTTGTTTGATGTATATGTATTTTATTTATATATATATATTAATAATAAAAATAAATTATGTAAATATAAAATATAAAAATAATTATACAAATCAAAAGTTAAATAGAATATACTAATAAAAACTAAATAAATTATAATATATATATATAGATAAAAATATAATATGTATATGATACTTTAATAAAAAGGTATAACTATTAAAAAGTTCACATATTATATTAACGAAAGTTGGTTTGAATAGCAAGCAACTTGTTATTGCTTAAGCAAAGTTTCAAATTTAAGTTATTATGTATACAAAAAAAATTTAGTCGTAAATTCACTTACCACGTTTGAGAATAATATAAATTTTAAGAAAAAAAATTTATAATTATTTCATTTAATATTATTATTTAAATTCATGATATGGAGAGGGAAAGTGATGATATACTTTTATTTACCTCACTCTAAGAAGATAAGTGAGAGTTTCAATGTGCATTTTATTTAAATCTAAGACGAATTTGTTTAACAAAATAAAAAATATTTTATATGTCACAAAAGGGATGAAACATTTAAAATCAACTCAGACAAATCCTAAAAATAGACTCCCCTTTACTTTGTTAATAGGAAACTCAGTTGGAAAGAACAGAATATATCTCTAGGTTTTAGCTGTGCAGAGGTTGTAGAATCCTTAAAGAGAAGAAGAAAATATGAGAATAAGTCATTTAGGTTTAGAGAATGTTGGGACTTTATGAACTACTCACCTTTCTTTCTAAGAGATAGTAATTATGGAGGGGAGGAAAAACTTGATTATGTAGAGCTGAAGTTTCTTTTAGGTGGAGATAGAGAGAGGTGAGCTTAGTATTTTTCTAGAGTACACTCTAAGAGGTCTTTTAGTGTAGTTTAAATAGTGGTAGAAGGGTGTGTTTAGCAATATCGAAAGACAACAGAAGTTTCTGAATTAAAGAGAGGATTTGGTAGGTGGGTTTGTGTCTAAGGTATTTTGTAGCAGACAGAGAGAATAAGTGTAGTGGTAGATGATGGGATTGTCATAATTGCTTTTTGTGCTTGATTCTCTAATGCATTTCATGAAAAATGATTGAGTTTTTGAACTAGCCATTGTGAAAATTTCTTATTAATCCGATTGTTATTTATGTTTCAGGAAGAATGAACAAGGAACGAGAGTTTTTAAAGAATAATGGCTTAGAAAGGGAAGCAATGCCAACTTCCTTTGAAGATTTACCAAAAGCAGAGATTTACACAAGCAAGTACATGCCCATGTATATGCACGTGTACTTTTTTGGCTGAATGAATTGGTACAAACGTAAAAGCAAAGATCTACACAGGGCAAGTACACGTCCGTGTATTTACATATGTACTTCTTGGGTCACATAAATTAAGCAAAGTACCTGAAGCAGATATATACACGGTCAAGTGCATGATTGTGTTTCCAAGCATGTAATTCAAAGAAGCTTAAATAGGTGAATTATGAAGGAATCAAATATATACACGATCAAGTACATGATATCTGGATGTGTAGATTAATATGCGTCAGATTTGAGCATCTGCGAGAAAATGAGCAGTGAGTCTGCCACTATAAAAGGAGGATGATACCTAAAGGGGAATGTTTTTGAAGGAAGAAAATAGTGATGGCTACAACTGGGGATGACAACAACTTTCTTTTTATTCGCTACTCTTGAATCATAGTTTCACTATGTTTAATTTCTAATTTCTTTTTGAGTATCTAAATATAATGAATCTTTTGTAATCCTTTCTTAAAATTCTCCTTCAGACTATTTCAAGTTTTGTTTTATTGAATTTAATTGAGTAATTTTGCTTGTTGGTTGAGTTTATCTCCTATTTTATTTTCATGTTTCTAGTTTTAAGTAGAAATCTAATATGAATTGATCATTGTTGATTTAAAAAGACTTGAATATAATTCTAGAGAAAGAATGACATAAGTCTTCTGTATAACTCTAATAGTAAAAATCACAAATCAATTTTAATATAATTTATGAGGCATTAATTAAGGAAGAGATTTTAGTTAATCAATTTTAATTTTTGAAATCTTTTTTTTATTTAATTTTTTTTTTGTCTTAGTGAAATTATCATCATAATTATTTTGTTTGTATTCTTTAACAACTGAATAATTAAGAATTAAAAACTTTAATTATATTCATTTTCAATAATACTAATGTGATAACGAATGAACTTGCTCCTTCATTGATTTGAGAAATTTAAGTTCTCTATTTTCTATGTATATGGAAAAAGAAAGAATAGTTAAACCACAAAAAGAAGAAAGAAAAAAGCTGCATTTTTTTCTTCATTTTTGAAAGAGCTGTGATATTTGGTACCAATCTTTCATCACAAAAAATCTGATCATTCACTCAGTAGAATGATAAAAGACAGTTTACATCATAACTATTTAAAATCCTACCATTTGTCTTCTTTCATGTCTAATAGGGTTTTCCTATTTTAAATATGTAAGTCGATGCTGGTTGCTGAATGAATTTCAACTGCTAGAAGCTTGTTTATGCTAAACTGTTTGATTAGATATTCTGCATTATTTTTCTCATAAAATAGTTATCCATTATTTGAAATTTTGTAGGAGTGAAATTTAAAAATTTAAAATTTTTGTAAACAACTATAACTTTCTTAATTTTTATTTATATATCAATATAAAAATTTAAGATAATATTAATTGTTATTTTTATTCATCTTAATTTTAATATAAAATATTTATTTTATTTAAATTATTTAAAAATTTAATAAAAGATAAATTAAAAAGTAATAAATAATTTTAATAAGATGATTATTTTTTAATTTTATAGTTTATTTAATTAATTTTATAAAATAGATAAATAATAAACAAAAGTAGTATCATATAAATTATTTTTCTCTTCCTACTTGTTCTTTCTCTGCTATTTATATATATAATTTTATATAAAAATTATATTAAGGTATTTTTTATTTATTAAGTAAACATAAAATTATATCATTTTAAAGTAATATCATGTATTATATTTTATTTTTATTTGATTAAATTTGTGTTAAATATGTATTATATATTTTTATTTTTATATCTAGATCAATAAAAATTTATGTCAATATTGACATATCAAATGTTATTCATTTTATAGATTTATTAGGTATAAAAATTATATTAATTTTTTTTATGTTAACTATTGATATTATTTTTATTTTTAACTAAATTTTTAATTATTCATTATATTTTAACATTGAGATTTAAAACATGTACATATTATTAAAATATTAATATTACAATATTTGTAATTTTTTTAAGTATGAAAATTTTAAAAAACTTACATAAAATTTTGACTATGACAAAATCAAATAGTAATATGGTAATTTAAATTTTTTTATCATTTTTCTTATTCATCCTAAAACTAAAATTATTCATTAATTAAAATTTAAAAATAGCGTTATTTGTTTTTAAATATTATATTAATAGTTATGATTTTAAATTATAAATTATAAATAATTAATTATAATAATTAAAATAAATTAAATAGTATTAAGTATGATTATAATAAAAGGGTAATATATAAATTTATTATTAAAATTTTATTGTAATTGTTAGATTTGCATATTTAATATTTTTATACTATAATAAATGAATAAATAAATTATAATATTTTAAATATAATTTAAGTTTAAATGTTATATTTATTTTTTATATATAATTTATTTTAACATTAAACTAAAGCTCTTCAACTTTTTAATATTTTTTTCATATTTTAAATTTTTTTTTCAGTTATGAAAAAAATTTACAATCAAATAAAGACATGAATTGATTTTTAAAATATTATAAAAATAATTTTTTCAATAGTTTTAATATTAACATTTCAAACTATATTTATTTATTAACATTTTATATTCTAATTATGTGATTGTTAAAAAAATTTTAAAATTAAAATTAAATTTTGAACGCTTTCAATTTTTTTTTAAATATTCAATCATATAATGAATTTAAAATTTATTCTCTAGTTGTAAATTAAATTATACTTAAAATATAAAGTAAGATAAATATATAATTTTGTATTGATATAATTATTTATGATATTATATTCTCAAAATTAATACTAATTTAAAAGTTAAAAAATATTTTAAATTAGAATTATTAATTATTAGTATACAATTACTTATTATAAGTCAAATTTAAATATATTATTTTAAAATCAATAATTAACAATTTTATATATAAATTATCAAATAAATTTATGTTAATATTTATTTTAATTCTTGAAAAATAAAAATTAGACTTCATTCAAAAGTATCTTACCAGATATAATACTAAAACTCATTATTTATTAAAAAAAATATTTTATTATATTTTTACTCATTAATATATACTTTTTTTATGTATTTTTATTTTCATTTGAAAATATTTAATAATAATAGATTTATATTATTTATATTTAAAAATAAAAAAAATACTGTTTATTTTATTTTTATGTTTCCTTTAATTTATGTTTGAAAAAATTATTTTTATGTTTACATCATCTAAAAGAATAATAATTATTGAAGAGGATGAAAAATATATAAAATATAAAAAAATTATATAAAAAAAATATTTATCATATTTTTTAATGTAATTATATATAATTTAATTTATTAATATTAAATATGAAAATTTTATTATTTAATAATATTTTATAAAAGACAAGACTTATTAATTTAATTAATAAATTATTTTATGTTATTTTTATAATTATGTGTATTATATTTGAACATATTATTTAAATTTAAATTTTTTATATTTGAAAATTATATTATGCGTTGAACTAAAATAATAATAAGCCCTGACTCTGAAAATAATCCTAAATTTTATCCAAAGAAACCCTAATCCCAATTCTCGCAATACTCCCAAATATGCAGCAGAAGCACCGTATACTCCCAAGGAAAATACGCAGCACGAGCACCGAAATCTACAGTTCCGTTTGAGGTGCCCAGTAGCCACAGTTCCCTCGCATTCAACCCTCCATCGCAACAGGAAAACAGATCCCATCCCCTTCAACGTGAGCGAACTGCGAGCAGAACCTCCTGCAGCAGCAAATTTTGCAAACGAAGCAAACTGCTAGCAACCAGCGGCACCGGTGACGTTCTGCGAACTGCGATCAGAACCTCCAAGCTTCAACTGGTTTGTGTGAAAACAGCTTCCTGCAGCAGCAAATTTCTGCGAACAAAAACAAACAGGTTCGACCTCCAAACTTACCTGTATTTGTGTGTTTTTAACATTGTTATTATGTTGCCCTTCAAAGAATGTTCATGAAATAATCGAGGTTGGTCACAGCTGGAGTTGTTGTATTATATATGTGCATATAACGTCTAACTCTTGATACTTTTCATTACACTCTTGGATTAATTTTTGTTGATAGAACATACAAAAGAGAATGGCATTACCGAATGCTTCGAAAGACTTATCGTTGGAAATGGAGGTTGATGCATTTCGACGCCTCTTTCCACTTCGATTTTTTGAGCGTCATTTTGCTGAATCTATACGCGCGGATGGTAGACCATTTGCAAAAGCCAGAGAAACAAGTATTTTGCTCGGTTAGTTACGTTTTTTTTTTTTTCCCTCTCTAGTAATCTGCAAAATATTTAGATACACTACTTAATAAAGTGCTTGTTGAATAAGCTCTTTTTTAATAATGACTTTGTCATATCTTATGAACAACTTATGAGTACTCCTAATCTGGTTTCAAATTTAACTTATGAAGATCTTATTCTTTTAAAAAGAGCTTATTAAATAAGTGTTTAAAAGGGCTTGCGAATAATGTATGAACAGTTTATCAATTGTAAAGGCTTATTTCAACGAACTTCTTAGTATAATTTATCAAAATTACAGTGTTTTCAGCTTATATCAAATTATCAACAAGTTTCATAGTTAAATTAATTATATGTTATTGTTTAAAAAATATTTATTGAATAAGCATTTAAATGAGCTAAGCATCTAAATGCACTCTAAATTTAACTATGAAATTTATTGTGATAAGCTACAAAGTCGTTCATTTTTTATAAGTTATACAAAGGAACTTATGCAAATAATTTCAAAAGAGCTTATGGGAATCATGAGCTATTTTTATAATCTGTCTATAAGCTCTTCCAAATACTATGTACGTTTGGATCAAAACGTAGCAAAACTTAGGTGGCTAGCTCATTTGATTAGGTGCTGTTGCATTGGCTAATGGGTCGGCTCTTGTGAAGATTGGATCCACGGTTAGTTGCTCTCTTCCCGTGTCTATTTACTCTATTTTGTTCAATGTTGTGAAATTTGGCTTTTTACTTTATTATGAATCCTTGCTTAGACTATGTTGACTGCTATTAAAATGGAAGTCATGACTCCTTCCTTGGAGTCACCGGATGAGGGCTGTTTAGGTCAGTTATCCCCGTTTTGTACCACTTGGATATTAGTTATTTAATACTACCAACATATGGCACGAGATTTTAACATGTTAATTGTTATTATTTCAGCTATTGATTTCCACATGCCTCCAATTTGTTCTCCAATTGTTAGGCCTGGCAGGCCTGCTGAAGCATCACCAGTTGTGTCAAAGCAGTTGTCTGACACCATCTCAAGGCAAGTTTCAATATTTTATTAAGTGAACATGTCTACCCTCTTGGCAGTTAGCACAATTTATTGATGTATTCTTACTGAAAGTACATATAATTATTATTAATTTGATCATTAGGGTGTGTGAACTTTTTGGTGAAAGTTTTTTATTTAAAATGGTTAGTGGATCGGACAAATTTCTCCTCTTAACTGTAGATTTCTTTCTTTGGTGATTTCTTGCCCATAGATTGGTATGGTTGTTGGGACAGAGGTTTTGGAGGGAAAAGAAAGAATATTCTCATACTATTATTTAGAGTGAAAAGAATAAAATGATAGATTATCATGAAACCTTCCAATCATTGCTTATTCATTTTTATAAATACAATATAACTCGATAAAAGATGAAGACTTTTACCCTCCCTTTCTTTCCCTCAAAAACTTCATCCAAACATAAAGGGTCTGTGTCAAAATCAGGGTTGCTCTTCTGATATGCTAAATTGGGTTCCAATTAAATTAACCTCTCTTTTTTTATGACCTTTACTTCATTTATTTATTTTTGCAGCTCTGGAATAGTTGATTTGAAAGAACTGTCCTTGGTCAGTGGAAAAGCTGCATGGATGGCTTACTTGGTAAGCTTTTATATGGATTGTGATAGGAACTAGGTATCTTATTAAGAAGAATTAGGGATGAATCTCAATTACAAAACACACACTGCAGAACTTCAAGGGTCTGCACCTCCCAATACCATAAAGGCCCCAATTTCCTTTCACAAATCCCTTCCCTCCTCTTTAATCTTTGCTCTTATTTATAGGCAACATGCCTTATTCAAACTCACCTAACTAACCAACTAATGGGTAACTAACTAACTTATTTTAACTAAATACTAATGGGGGTTACCTCACAGATTGCATTTAACCAAATTTCACATATCAACCATAGAAAGAATTCATAGTACTCTAACTTTGGTTTGAGGTACCATATGTTTGATTGCTTTGATTTTGTAGGTGTGTCAGTCTATTAAATGACATAATGCTGCCATCTTTACCATGTAGGATGTCTATTGTTTGGATGCTGATGGTGCTCTTTTTGATGCTGCTTTACTTTCTGCTGTTGCTGCATTATCTCATTGTAAGTAGTGTTCTTCTATGTATTTGAACAGGATGGTCTTAGGATAGCAAATTTAAATAGTGACCATCCTATTATGCACAATCACCCTAAAACATTTGGTCGACTGCTATGTACCACTATTCACTATTGATAACTGTGGCTGAATCTGGTTTCATTTTTCTAATAATATAATTTACTAAAAATAAATGATCCCACCTTTATAAGATGCATGGCATTGAAGGTTAAATTCAAAGTTTATGATTGACTTATCTGATTTTATGTCCAAATGAGTAATGATGTTCTTGGTGTGTATTGCTGTTTTCAAATTGCTATGATATTATTATATTTTCATATGTAAATTTTCTTTTTGTCAGTGCAAATTCCTGCTGTTGCCATGAATGATGATGGCAAAATAGTACTCATGTCTGATGAAGATGGAGAAAAGCAGGCACAGGAGCCAGTTAACAAGGAGAGGAGGAAGCTTACCTTAAGAAGCATTCCATTCTCATTAACGTGCATACTTCACAAGAATTACATCATGGCAGATCCTACTGCTGAAGAAGAATCCATTATGGAAACTCGTGTGACTATAGTTTTGGATACATCTGGTCAGCTGATATCCCTTTACAAGCCTGGTGGGCCAGTTCTTGCCTACACTTCTGCTATCCAGGTTAGTTGGCACATTGCAATGGAACTAACAAGGTGAATTATATGATAGTTTTAGCATTAGTTAACACTGATTTTGGGTTGGCATGCTAATGCAATCGTGAGCAATTTTGTGAATAACACTATAAGTACTTCTAAAACTTTTTCAGTACATCAAAATTTAAAGAATAAGAAATCTGAGGTCCTTGAAAATTATCTTTCAATGTTGTAATTTGTACTAAGTCTAGGATTTTCTGATTCAATCTTTTTCCGAAATGATTCATTATTTAGTGTGCATTTATAAATGTTATATAATTCATTGTTGATGTTCATTTGAGTTTTAAATATGATGACTGAAATTATAACAAGTGGTTTGATTTGATACTGGAAATTCAGTTAGTGTACATTAATAATCTCAAAACATATAGTTAGTAACTTGGATATCATACTGATATGAATCGTATGCTAAAAGGTGTGAAAATTATATTTTGGGCCATATGATGGATGAAATTATATAGATTGTAATTAGTAACAATTGTTGTGATTTCAGGATTGTGTCGCTTTAACCAGGCAGAGAGTAAAGGAACTAAAGAGTTTCTTAGACAAAGAAAATTCTACTATGGAGATTGAGGAGAATTAGAAATTCTTCATTTCTAGTCTTGAGTGGTTTATACAATTTATATTTGTACATTCTGGATTTCAGGTACTGCAGCATTCACCGTTATAAAAGATTCTTTCATGAATTTTATACAATCTATTGGATATTTTTGGGTTGATTTCATTTATTTGGTTAGTAGTTTTCGAGTTGCAGTATTCTTTAAGCTATAAAGAAGCTTATTTTTATTTGTTACTTCATCTATTTTGGTATAGAGCTTGTTTTTATAGTTATGGCACACGACGTGTGTTAAATTCTATACGAGTCTAACTTGCCTTCACAAATGAATTTAAAATGTTTTTTTTATCAAATTGAATTGTCGTTTTACTAAAAAAAAAATTAAATAAAAAATGCTTGGGTTAATCAATCACAATTTAAAAAATTAAGTAAATCACCTTGAGAGGCTAGTTTGCTTAAAAGTAAAATTATTTAATTCTTATAACTTCGATCGAAGTGTCACAAAATTGATGAGTTCAACTTATCTTAGAATAAGTAATCTTATTTTAAGTGAATTAATGTAGTTATTTATATATATAAAAAAAGAATATAAATTTTAATATAATATTTTAATGTTATTAGTCTATTTAGGATAAATTATTGATTTCTTGGAATAATTTTGACAACCATCAAACAAAAACACCACTTGAATGGTAAATACACTATTGTGTGTAAACAAGAAATAGATTTGCGAAAAGTGGGTTTCGCTTATTCCAGAACACATGTTGACATGATCAAAATTCGTTTCTACGTGCAAGTAAATGGTTGCCATTACTACAATTAATATCAGTTTTCAAATCAATGGATTTCTTTGACAAAAATAAATGAATGGATCTCCAACCATGCATGAAATTCACAAGAATTCTACAAAGTACTAAAGCCAACAAAAAGAGGACCTGTATTAAATATGAGGCAATAATATACCCATAAACTTAATTCATTTTAAGGGAATCTTATACTCATTATGCAGAATCATGTTAAATGAGCCGGTATCAACGTCGTGAACTTCATTCAAATAATTGTTAGAGAAATATATATATAAAAGATCATTTGATTGTCAGAATAAAAGTGAATAGGATAAAATAGTTATCATATTCGTTTTTAATCAAGTGTTAGAGTTATAAGAATATGATTAATATGCCTCTCTGAACCTATCCATTATTTCCAACCTTGTTAATTCCACTCTCTGAAAAGACTAAACTTCTGGGAAAAAAAGGGCTAGAATTTGTGGGATTCTGGCATCACCAAGGTGATGTTAGGTTTGGTGCACATAACTCAGCAAACAACAAATTCAAATTTTCATCTTTGGAAGAGTGCTACCCAAAGTTGCCATGCCATGTATTATGAGCTTTTAATTTGTTCCTTTGTGCATTGCTAAAGATTCGAGTGGGCATCAACCATACTTTATATAACAGGTTCAGGGTAATTTAAAAAGAAAAAAATCACTTTTTTCCATAAAAAAAATATTTTCTAAAACAAGAAACACTTATGAAACAAGCATTTAGTAAATTATCGTAACCTATTTGTGTCTTTGATTTAATATTTTATTTTAGTCAATTTGCCACTAATTATTTTGGTCAATAAATAAAATTAAATTATAAATTGAAGCAACCATCTTTGTCACTGCATTTTTTTTTTTTTGGGGATAACTTCTGGGGAAATTTTAATTTTTTTTACCCATAAGTTTACAATATATCTAACATTTTGTATTTTTAATTATTTATATTTTATCTACAATATGTAATAATTTTTATTTATGTTAAGAATATATTTAATAAAAAATATTAGAATTTAATAAAATAGAAATATTAAATTATTTCTTATATTCATTTAATCATTAAAATAAATATAAAACATCTAATAATAAAAGAGAAGTTAGAAGGAATATATATTTGAAATAAATACAGATAATAAAAATTTAATAAGTAATGTAATAAAAAATAAAAACAAAAGATGTTATGTAACATTTCTAATGACAGGTTTTTAATAACGTGTGTAGATTATTTTATATTATTAGTAATTTATATTATATTATTAATAATATTAATAATACTTAACATCAAATACATTATTAAAAATATATAAATATTTAATAATAAAAGAAAAACTAAGAGTTAGAAAGAAAAGTTAAGAAACGTAAAGATGAAAAAACATAAAATTAAATAAAGTAATAAACTATAAGATGGAATATAATTTTTTTCTACAGGAAGAGTTTAAAAGTAGAAAAATAGTAAAAAAAAAGTTATGTAACATTTTTAGCGGAAGAAATCTAGTAATATATATAGACATTCTCACAGAAATTTATATACCAAAATTTTTAATTCTTAAGTTTTTTGTTCATTTAAGATTATGTTAATGACCAATTATTTTCTATTGTTATATCTTTTTAATTTTTACTACTATATTTAGGCTTTTTTCTAAGATTATTTACCTGACTATAATAATTTTTCTCTGTAAGCTAACTTTTAAAAATGAGTTACATTCAATTTTTTAATATGGTATAAAAAACTACATCTATTTTAAATGTTAGCTGCTCACAAATGTTTAATCAAGCAAATTTCATATGCCAAATGTTTACTTCTAAGTTTTTGAAGAAGGGTGTTAATATACCTCATAACTATAAATATGACCACAATAGTTTTATAAAGCTTAGTTGATCCTCTTCTTAATAGTAGAAATGACAATTATTATGACAAAAGTAATAGTAATATGATAATAGATGCTAAGTATAAGAATGATTGTTAGATTATTTTAATAATTTATTTAATGATTCATGTAACTTACAGCTGATTCTAATTAAATAATTTAATATAATAGTTGTTAATTATAAAAGATAAAGTCAATTAGGTATAATTGTAAATGCAACTAGAAGAAAACTTTCCTTTCTCGCTTCATATAAATAAAAAAGCAATAAATTATCAGAAATAAAAAAAGGAAAGGAAAAACTAAAAAAGACTCTAAGAACTACTTTTTTTATTTAAAAATTAAGCTAAAATTATTTCAAAATGAATTTGACTCTATTTTTATTGAACATATTTTGTTTTAAAAATTACATTTAAATTAAAAAATTTGAAAACTTGCAACTGCCCTAAATAGGCATACGTTAATCATAATCATAACATATACTAACATATATTATGTACTTTCACCTAGAGAATCAAAATAGCTAGGATTAAACTAGATGAAAGAGGAGACAGTGAAGTTGGGAGTTATATTAGGTTAATTTTTATTACCCTTTGTGCAATTGAAATAATATCCAAAACTTATCATTATTCATACATTGTATATCTTCATACAGAAATAAAGTCTTCTTACTTTTATTTTACACACTTTGGAGAATATGGTCAACTTAAGGAGTTTTAGTTCAAAGAGATTAATTGTGTTGTGAGTTTTGAAAGATTGTGTAATAATATTTAAAAGCGATACATAAATTCATGTGTATTCAAAATATTTTCATAATAAAACTTTTAACTATGTAATATAGACAAGGTGTATTCCTAGGGTTGGAGGGTAGATTAAGATATTTGGATGACAGATTAGGATAAATTATGTATTTTTTATTTATCATATTTTTTTAACAAATTATTTTTACTTATGTTTTAAAAGTTCAAGATAACATTAGTTTTTTTTTTATCAACTATATATAAACTTAAAATAAATTAATAATCAATTAATAAGAGAGATAAAAAGATACGATAACAAATTATATAGTAATTTTAATAAAAATTGAGAATATTAAACTTATTCCTCATTTTTTGTGTAAAGTCTCAAAATGACAAATATAAAAGAAAAAAAAGTGAGTAATAAGAGAAATAAAAGGTTATAAAATATTAGATTTTCTAATATTAATATTTATATTATTTTATAAATTTATATTATTAAATTATTATAGATATATTATTATAAATTATGACATAAAATAAATGTGTATAATTATTATCAGTTATATAGATTTTGTGATTGAACTCATAGTGTGAATTACTCGTTCATTCTATGTCTCAAGTGAGAGGTTGTTGAGTAATACATACTCACTTAAAGATTACTATGAATCATGAATTCTTATAAGCATATGTTTAACGCAATTTATATAATTATATATTATTAAAATTATATTAAAATGTTATGATATGTGTTACGTATGATGAATGGTATTTTTAATTTTATATAAAATTATGCATAAAAACATATAAATGTCAGTTTTATATATTCTTGTCAGATTTCCACTAATGTCATCACTGCTTAATATCATACAACAATATTGTCACTCTGAACCTTCATTTCTACTGTGACTTAACTTTTTTCACTGTACAGCACTTTTTATTATTGTCACCATTGTTGTGACTTTACAACTCCCACTTCCGTCACGGTCTAATCACGTAATACCCTTAATCATAATTATTGTCTAATATTTAACATGTGTAAGTGATGCAATGAACATAACATATAACGTAATAGTTTTCGCATTTTATATATGGTGAATTCTATTGTACTCTAAAATATTAGATGGTTAATCAACCCCTCCTTGTTTGACCATTAATATATTGACATGTGATGATAATAAATGGTCATGTACGTTTCAATCAAATACATCATCTATAATAGATTAGTTAAAGGTGATACATTGTTTTCCCCTTTTAACCTTTTATCTCAAGTGAAACCTAATCTCTTTTCTTGGGTTTTCATTTCGTGCTCATTAAGGTTGACGAGAAGGATAATATCCCTCCCTACTGTTTTTTCCTCCCCATAAACTCTAATGTCATCATCATCTTTCATTATTCAGATGTGCCATTTTGTCCAAGTAATTGTAAGTTTTACCTAATATCTTCTATCGCGATGCGCATAGCACATTCACAATGTGTGAAAGGTTCAAAAGAAGACAAAGAAAACAATGAAACTTCAAATCATAGTGATTTTGCAATCATTCATAGCATAAAAGAAAGACAAAAGGAAGCATATTGATGACCCAGCAGAAAATGTTTGATTAACCTCACTCGTATTTTATGGTACAATAAAATTCACCCTGTATTTTTATAAGTAAATCACTTGATTGAATTAAACAAAACAAAACTAATAAAGTTGAAGTTAATTGTACTTAATACTTAACTATTCTATGATTTCTTAATGACAAAGTAAAACAAAATATTTTAAACTTAGAAAAAATCAATTTTTTTATTGATGTCCTTTTTGCATTCGATTATTTTAAAATTATTTCAATATTCAGTTGTAGATATAATCAATTATTGTTGCATTTAATTATATAAGATATTTTTTCAGATGTTAGGTGAAAAGTAATGTTATGATAATTTTTTATTTAAATTATCTAAAATGATATATTTTTATAACAAGATTAACAAAAAGTATACATTATTTGTATTAGTTAATTTTATATTTAAATTAATTAATTGTTAGGGATAACATGAAAAAACAAAATTTAATAATCTATTAGCTTTTAATTATAATCTTCATAATTTTCTTATAAAAACATATTTTCTTTGCTAATATTAGAATCTTGAATTACAATATAAATTATCAAACACATCTAAATAGTAATATAACAACTGTTTGCTATCAGTCAAATTATAATATTTAAAAATAGTCTCGTCCAAGCCTGTTAATTAAAGTTCTAACCATACGGATTTACTTTGTCTCAGATTAAAGTTTAGTTGTATTTTATTATCTTTTGGTATATGTAAGTTTAAAATTGAAGGAATGCTTCTCCGTTCCAACATCAGAACGAATGAAAGGCTATTTACATGATCAAACCCAAAACGTTGTCACGTTCTTGATAATATGTAGGTTGTACATTTCATCAGTTAAATAAACTTGACGTTGTAGATATGGATTGATGCTGCATTGCTTCGATGTTCTTGTGGACCAAATATGAATTTGATATTAAGAAAGAATACTCATAATGTATTCAGTATTTTAGCCTTTATCTGTCCTGCATAATCCAATTGCTTTGAGATACTTCAATTTGTATGCAAAGAACTATATCTGTACTAGTTAAACAAGATCCTTTATGTATCCAATCTTAATGCTTTGAGATAATTGAGAAGGAAAATGGTATAAGACGACTCAAAAATATGCTATAATCACTGTCATAACAGCAACTCAAACTAACTAGAGGACATACTATACTAGCTAGGCTTGAAGAGTTTTTTAAATATGCCAACGAAGGTCGGTCTAGTTAATAAGAATTACATTTGTAACTCACAAAAACTCGTCCAAATCCCACTACTGACATGAGGATGTTGTTGGTAGGCGATTCATGAGTCCCTCTGTAACCACTCTTCAGTGATCCAAGTCACCTAAATTTTTTATTTTTTTTACACACAAAAAAAACAGTAACTATGGCCGCTGGTTTCACATGGTTAAATTGCTCCCAAAACCCAAATTTCATAACATACGAAATGCAGAACCATAACGGATGAAAAATAAAGCATCAAGTAGAAAAATGGAACTGCCAACACACACTCATAATAATTGGAACTAGTATTTTAATTTATAGAGGAACAGAAAAATGATTCAAAACAGCCTATTTTCCCAAGCCTCCCCGTGAATTCATTGCCAAAATACAGGTCTTATTTTGGAAAAGACATCCTCAAAAAAGTACATGGAACAAGGAACTCACAAGGGTTTCTGCATTTACAATTAACAACTTCACCCCCAAAGATATTAATGACAAAATATTGTTACTCTAAACTTCTAAGTCCATGTACACTAAAAATTGTACATAAAATTGGCAAATTAAAATGATCCTGCTGCTACGAACAACTGAATGGATGAAGATGAAGATTGAATAAAATTACTTCAGCTGGCAGTATGACCAAATGAACCTCATTAGCAAGGTCCATTCTTATTAATCAAAAGTTCATAACTTACTGTTTTAACAGATGGCATATCTTTTGCAGAAACCTCTGAGCAAGGGAGATAGTAATCTGTTTTTTCATCTCAAAAGAGAAACTAAACTTCATTTCATGAAAATACATCATCAGCTATTTGAATTGCAGTGCTCAGAAGCTTCCTTCTCAGAAATTAAGCAAAGCCCATCTCATGCACTGCAGAGCTCAGAGGAAAATTATATACAGCTGCCATCCGTCTGATGAGGGGGAGATTCTCAATGCTGTTTGGTCTTTAGATTTATAATAATTGGGAAATTACACAACTGCAGAAGCTGTTCTGCGAAGATCAGGAACTCCATTGCCATATTTTCCACCAAACTGTGGACTTCTCAAGCTGCCGTGCCTTACAGGCTTTGGCCGATAAAGACACAAGAGCATTTCCTCCAGCTTCTGTACTGTGTACTTTGCATATTTTGTGGAGTTAGCATCTTGCTCAACCAAAGGACCATAATTCTGCATGTAACTCCGGTAAACAGGCACCACAGCTTGCACTATAAGCTGACATGTCTTCTCTCTCAGATCTCGTTCTGGCATGATCCAGCTTGACTGCTTTGCAAACATCTCATCAAAAACTTCATTGAACTTTTTCAACCTTTTCTTGACCAGGTCACGAGCGGTGGCACGCCCTCCAGAGAAAAGAATCAGCCCTTCCCTACTCAAATGTCCAGGAAGCTTTCCCCAGCTGTCCCTCAAGAATATTGTAGAGTAATAGTCCCTATACTGTTCGTGATCCCTTAACCAAGAATCTCCCAAGAGCTCCCCAAGCTTTGTCCCTTTCAAATGTTTGCACAGATGCCAGTGATTGTTCATGGCAAAAAAGTTGGACAGCATAGGATCATCATAAGCCTTGATCCAAGTCTCCACATTCAATTCCACAGCTTTCACTATGTTCAAAATCTCAGTAACAAGAAGTTTCTCCTGAAAGCTTTGGCGCTTCCAACTTCGATGGATGATCAGAACCTGAGTCAATATTGGCTTATAGTTCTCCCCTAGAAGTTTGTTACAGTAATCGGTGATAAAGCTCACAAGTCTCGGAACATTGCCATCCAGAGGAGGTGGATTCTGCCTCTGCAACTCTACCTGAACCAAAAGTTCCCAGAAAATCTCTGCCGCTCCATCAATCACTCTCTTAATAAGATCCCTTGTTAAATTCTGTATTTCAGCACACGCTGCACCGCCAAAAAGCCTATTGAAATCCAGTCTTAACTTGTTCAAAGATGCAAAAATATCCAACAACTTCAAAAGCTTAATTGGGTCCTTCTTGCTCTCTGTAACAGTCTTCCCAAATTGAAGAAATGCAAGAATACCAGCCTGCGCAGCTATCTTTGAAAAGCAACCCATCCACACATCCAACCCAATCCTCTCAAAGACATCATTGCAAAGCTTATACTCAGCCTCAAACAAATGCTTCACCGCAAACTCCAAATGCTTCCCCCACTGAGCTATATAACCCTCTATAATCTGCACATCATTGAATTCAGACACAGATATCTCAAGGTAATCCAAATTAAGAGCCCGCAAACTCGCCCTCACGTTAGAACTACGCACTTCAACATAAATAGATATACATTTCTCGAGCCTATCATTAGCAATCAACCTCCCAAGAATCGCCTGCAACTTGTGAACAACAGACACCGGCAAAGGCGATGGTGCAATGCACGCTTGATCACCAAGCGACGCAGCCGATGACATTGGCAACGGCACACTGTTTTCAGTCAACAACAACCTAAACTCATTCTCCAACTTATCCAACGCAGCATCCAACAATCCACCATCAATCTCCCTGTACTGCAATTCCCGGAGACTCTTCAATTCCTTCTTCAAATTTGCAAGATACACCTGATCCGCCACACAATTATCCTCCAAATACTCAACTATATCCTCCAACCACTGAATTGCCAAGCCACAGTTATCTCCCAAGAACCTCAACGCCTCCTCAAGGCGCTTCAACACCGACAAGTAACCGGCAAGATCATTCCGTGGATCCGACAATATCGACTTTTCAAGGCCATGAACGGCATCAAAAACCTTAAGCACGGCGGCAGCAGGGCTAACGGCACGGTTAATGTGACCGCCAACGGCTGCAAGTGCATCCTTATCGGCACGAATAGGGCGAACCGCCGATTCAAGCGACGGTAACCTTAGCCTAATCTCCTCTAACCGTGGCCCTGCTTTCTCTAACGCTAAACCCACCGATTTTGATTTCTCTAAACTAAGTTTCAATGACCTTTTAGCAGAAATCAAATTCTCCACTCTAGAATCACCGCTTCTAGAACCTTCCATTGCCATGTGAAGTGATTCAAGATCGGTTTTTCTGTTATAACCGTTTTACATAGGAATCATCGAAAAGTGGTAACATTTGCATTTCTAACTTTACAAAACATGGAAGTAGAACAGATCACTGCGAAGATTGAATAAGAAAATGGAAGGATTAAGGAATATTAAGAGAAAGGGGAAAAAAGGGTTTTGAAGAGACAAAGTATGAGAGAGAGAGAGATAATAAGGAGAAGACACGAAGAGAGTGAGTGGACTCACCGAGTTGGAGTAAAAAGGGAAATGAAAATGGAGAAGCTGGGAATCTGAATCTGTGTTCCAATGAGAGAGAAACCCTAAGGAAGAATGTGAAGTGTGTGTGCGCCAAAGAGAGAGAGAGGCACCTTTTTTGGGTGTTGCGATTGCGAAGTGCATGACAGTATGCAAAAATGCTTGTTACTGTTACTTTTGCTGTGTCTTCAAATCATAGTTTAATTAATTATTCTTTTTTCTCTCTCTTCTTTTGGTTAGTTTGAATTTTCTCAGCATTATGCAGTCTTCTTTTTTCTATTATCACCTAGGTTAAGAAAAATAAGAGCATGGGATAATTTTATTGAATTAGCTACATAAAAAATAGAAATAAAATTTAAGAAAGTATTAGTTTAAATTAAACTTAGAGTTTCATTTTAAAATTATTGAAATAAAAATAATAATTATATGAATTATATAATTCATTCGATATTTCCGAGGTACAAAGAACTGTTCTGTCTACTCGTCATTCATTTCTGTCTAAGAAGAAGAGTTGTGGTCCTCTTAACCCATTATAATGTGAACTTCCACTTGCACTGTGGGGAAGAATAATAATCACACTAATCTGCAATCAAAACATTATTCATCAATTCAATTTCAATGAAGAAATTATATAGTTTTTCAATCTGTTCTAAACTAGGAATTTAAATTTGTTGTATCAATGATGTAAGTGTTTTTACAGTATTATTATTCAACACACAAATCATTTTAAAAGTATGATGGTAAAAGTTAAACTTTTTCGTTGATTTAATAAAATAAAATAAATTAATTTAACCATAAATAAATACAGCTATATTAAATATTTAAAAAATATTTTATGACCTGTAATAATCATATTTATTCCTTTTATTATGATTTCAAACAAAAAAAAACTTTTCAATATGCTTTTTTTATAATAATATTTAAAAAATAAAAAAAATTACCACAATAATCACTAGAAGAGGCCTAAAAGGCCCATATATTTAAATTAAGCCCATTATAGACTTCTGGAATCCACATCACAAAAAATTGTCACTTTATAAGCTCATAATATTAGTCAGGCATAGCAAAATTAAAAACAAATTTAAAATAACAGCGTATGATAACATGATCTAATTAATCATTGACTTTTGAATTGGTCCAAGTCTTGAGGTATTAATAACAATGTTTTGAAAGGTGGATTATATAAAAATATTGACTGTGAAGGTAGAGTGAATTTGGTGCAAGGACAACCATAGTCAAAAAATCATCAAAATTACTTTAAGAATAGTGGATTTATTGGGAGAACTATCCAAGGTTGATTTTAATGCATTGTGCATATAATGCAAATAGCTTTGATTTTCGTTCACCAAATTTCATTTTGAAACTCTGGCAAGCTTTTTCCAGAAAATCATCACCATAAAACATTAATTTTTTTACTTTTTCATTAAAATTACTTTCCTAAATACAAAGCATTAATATATAATATCAAGGTCTAATCAGTGAGTCACTTTTGAATTCGTCAAAACTCAAAATGATGAAGTAAACATATGATGCAAGGATAATTGAATTAACAGTCAATAGATGAGAAAATCTAGAAGGAAGAGTGGGTTTAAAGAGCTATTATTGCTGAAAATGGGCAATTAATTTATTATATGGTTGTTATGGATGCATTATGCATGTGTTCCAAATAGCATAAAATTACTAAACAATTTGAAATTCTGATAGGCTTGAAGGTCAATGAATAACGTTTGATGCACGTTTTTAAAGTTTAAGGCTATATGATATATATTTATTCAACGGTGGATTATATATTGTGATGACGTACGAATTGTCAACCACTTTTGTTAGTTTATACAAAAGTATTATCTCTATTTTCATTTAACTTTAAAAATATATATACAAATTAAAAATAGTTTTAAATTTTTATATGAATAAATGAAAAAATATTTTAAAACAAATAAATAAATAAAAAGATAGTATTATTGATTTCATGATTACTTGCTTGGTTGAGATGCGCCAAGCTTCAAATTTTATTGAAAATAATTGTTCACAGTGAAGTCATCAATGTCTTTTATAAAAATAAAACTTCACTGAAAATAAGTACCTTATTTATTAAAATTTGAGAAATATAAAATTAATACAGTAACTTTAAAAATATGCTACTTTTAAAAAAATTAAACATGATTTACTCTCATTTATACAGAGAATCATTAAAAATAGTTTTTTTTATATTTTTTATATTATATTCACACATATGAAATAATAAAAAAATTAAAGTATAATTTTTGAAATATTAAATTTGTAGAAAATAATGCAAGAAATTTATAAAATCAAAATATTACAATTATTGATAGAAATAGGTTAAGTTAAATTTTACATAAAGAAGTTTTAAAGTCTAAGTCTGATCTTTTTTAAAGTATGATTTGATTTATTAACCTTTTTAGTACCTTATTTTATATTGAGAGACATTTAATAAGTCATTAAGCTTTCTTATAAATAAGCTATTAAATTATTTAAATAATTATATCGTATTGAAAGATTTAATATATTTTTCTCTCTCTCTTAAATCTTAGAAGATATGTATTAGAGATATTTGTTGATTATAACAAAAAATATTAGGTTTTTAATTTAAAGATTTTATTATTTTAAAATTTAATTAACATAATATATTATTATATTATAATTTTTATATAAAATTTTTTAATATATTATTATAAATTTTATGAAATTTAAATAGACTTAATAGGTTTTTTTTCTTAAAGTCAAGTTTAACTTATTTAATTAATTAAATTTTTAAAAAATTTAAATTAAATTTATTAATTAAATAGGTTAAATCACATCAGAGTTTAAAAAGGTTAGACAATATGTTTCTATTAAACGGCTTGACCTGTTTTATCTCTAATTTCAATGTCAATAAATAATGTATTTGATAAAAACAAATAAACTAGGTGAATGATAAAAAAAATATTAATAACCTAAAATTTAAAAGATGGAAGTTGAAAAATTAGTAATAAACTAAAAAATTGAAAATTAAGAGTGAATAAGTTAAGTAGTTGAATTGAGTATATTTAATAAAACTAGCAACTAAAATAGATGATAAATTTAAAACAAAATATAATAAGATAATTAGTTATAATTATCTTATTTCAATTTGAAGAATTATAATTATTTATATTTTCATTTATTTCAAATAATTTATTATTATAAGAATTAAAATAATATATTTTACTTCTATTAATATTTATAAATATTTTATCAAACTAAATGAAATAATATAAATAAATTTGTATTTCTATTTCGATAATTATAAAAATAAATGAGTATGCAATAATTTGTAAAAATATCTAAAAAAATACTTTCATCTAAGATTTAAAAGGATAAAATGTTACTTAAAGTATCATTTGAATAAAGGTACAAACAACTAAAATATATTATTTTACCAAACCTAACTATATTAATTTAACATTTTTCTTTTTTCTAATAAAATAAACTTCTAAGTAACTAGAAAGTACTACCAAACACACAAAAAAAAAAAAACCAAAAATCAGGTTAGGGCATTTAACAATAAGTTAAAAGGAAAAATATTTTTTTTTTTCACGTTGGATTAGACTCTTTTAGTTATTAACTTAATTTGATATTGAATGTTAGTAAACATAGATTATTTTTAATTTAAACTAACATTTAATCAAAACCAATTTATAAAATTAAAATTATTTAAAATCAATATTGTAAATACTAGTCTGAAACACGTAGGAGATATTTCTTAATATTCTTTCTTTAGTCTTGTAAACAGAGTCTAGGATTAAGCTTGTGTATGAAATAAGAAGAAGTCTTGAGGGTGACAAGTGACTTTTTTTCCCTCAAATATTAAATAACACTGATTACAAACATGTTTTGGGTGACTCACTTTACCCATTACCAATTGTTATATTTAATGAATTGGGTGACTCGTAACTGCAAGTTCTAACTTTGAAGGTACGTAATTACGAAGGAGGAGGAAAAAAGTTGAAAGCAAAAGTAGGGTCAAAAAGTAAGGATTTAGTTTTAGAAGAAAAAGAAAAAGAAAGCATGTAAAGTACAAAAATAAAATTGTATTTATCGTCAATTAAAAAATAGTTATATTTTAACGATGAATTAAGTCTTATTTTTATTTTACATTTCTCTTCGCTTAAAAAAACTATTTATTTTGTAATTTTAAAAAGCAAACTATTTAGGTAAATTTATTTGAAGATTGAAAAGTTGAATGATTTCTTGAGAAAATTTATCAACAAACAATTATTCCTTGAAAATTATTTAAGATGTCCAGACGTCAACATGCCATTTAATTTCAACCACTTGATAAAGTCAGACAAATAAAATAAAAATTATTAACCCAATTATTACTTTATCAGTATATTAAAGTCACCCTCCCTCGGATTCCACCTCCTCCCGATACGAAATCATAAATAATCATAACAGCCAAGACTTTCGTGAGGAGATAGAAATTATCATCAGATTCCAATTTAGAATTTCCACCACTCTATAATATAATAATTAAAAACAAATTTACAACGCAGCCCCACCACTTCCCTACCCTAAAAAATCATTTTAAAAAAATAAGTCCTCCACTTCCCACTTTTTTATTCTTTTTTTATTCAACCCTTTACGTTGACTGGAATACCAAACCCACAACCCCGGCTGCATTCTCCTGCATCGCGGCTTGAACCGCGTGCCTGTGCTCCCCCTCATACGTCACTATCAGCATCGCTGGATCGTCTGGTGCACGCTCCACGTGTTTTCTTGCTGGACACCCTCTCACCGTGCTGCACTTATAATAACCCCTGATATGTATAAAAAAAATCATCGTCAGATAACGAGTCTTTGACCCACAAAGTCAACACAATCAACGAACACAAATCCCTCACCGTGGGTACGGTGACCCCTTGATCGGTTTTTGACCATATTTCCGCCACGAGTACTCGTCCGGCGGTATATCCGCGATCTTCGAACTAATGGCCGGCACTCTCACCGTCTTCTTCACCCTATTTTTCCTGAACACAAAAAAAATTTAAAATATTATTTAATTAAAGTTAAAATTGAATTTTGATTAAATAATAGCAGAAAAACCAATTATAATACTGCATAAGTATTTTTCATAAATTAATGGAAGGGTCAATAGTCAAACCAATTAAATGGAGAGAAGTGAAAAACGACAGAGGATTGAAAAAGGAAGGTTCAGTTTGGGGGGTTTGAATTTCTCTGTCTTCTTCTTGAGACAGCAATTTCTAAAATCTGGCTTCTTGACAAAAGATGTACCAGACACAACCACAGGAACCCTATGTTGTTTTGTCACTATCACGCGTGGTGTACCTATTTAATGCATTTAACTGCACCACTACCGAAATCGTTGACTCCCAAACGCGGCCTTGTCCCACCCACGCGACCCACTCACGTGTTTATTAGTTAAGAATAAGTAAAGAACACTTCATCCTCTTCCTCTTTTGATTTTGTTAATTTGAGTTTTAGCGTATAGTAGTAGTTCAAACAATTAATTAATAATAATCATATTTATTAAAAAAATACTTACTAGCATACTTTTATCTACTTAAGATAATAAAAACTTTTTAATACGAGTTTTTTTATTTTTTTAATTCCTAAACTCAACTTTAAAAATTAAAATTAATAAACTTATTTTAATTTCAATTAAATTATTAGTTAAAATTTACCATTAAAAAATTATTAAAAAAAACTTTAACTTTTAATTTCACTATAATTTTTGGATCAAAAACATTAAATCTTGAGTGGTAGTTCTGGATGTTTATTACTTTGAAATATTTAAATTCACCTTTAACAAATTCGTAAAAACAAATTTTATTATTATAATAGTCCAATAGTCAACAACCATGAGGAGTTATGACTCGGTGAAACGCTGTGTACCTTCTCTTGATGCAGTGGCACTTGCTGGATCCAGAGACGTCGTCGGAGTGTTCACGGTGATCGTGGCACCGTTTCTTAAACGGCGGTGGTTTTCCGGCGGAGGTGGCTGGCGGTGCCTGTGCCGGTGCGGGCGTGAGAAAAATCGACGATCCTTGTTTTCCGTTGGAAACGCTACCATCGCCGGTGATGGCGGAGGACATGAACGATGAGTTAGAGGAGACGCTAAAGGTCTCTTTGGAGAACTCGAGCTCAACGGACTTTGCGTGGGAGCTCAAAACGGTGTTGTGCGGCTTCGTGAAATCGAGCGTCACGCTCGCCGGCGCGTGGTTGACAGGCGCCGGAGAAGCGAACTGCGGCGGCGAAGAAAGAGTGGGGTTTTGCGGGGGAGGGAGCTGAACCGGTTGGGATGTGGAAGGCGCGTGAAGCGGAGCGCGTCTGAAACGGGCGTGGCCGGTTCGGTTGAGCAAGGAGATGAGTTTTTTGAACTTGGAAACGGTTACGTCGGTGAGGTGGGTGTTTAAGTGGGTGGGTTGGTTGGAGAGGGTTCGGATCAGGTGCTCCATGCCCTTGAGGCCTTCTGATGCAGCCTCTTGTATGGCCTTCTGTTCTTCAAGTTTTGGGAACCCCATGAGTTCCACTGCCATTCTGTGAATGAAAATAAGGGGTTTTAGAGATTAATGAACACTCAAACTGCCATGTAAAGATAAGAGATTGAAGAAGGAAGGGAAGTGGGTTTGGAAGGGTGAAAGGTTTTGGGGATGGTGGATATATATATGCAATAATGCAAGAAATGGTGACTCTGTAAGAGAGAGAGAGTCTCTTTGGTTTTAGTCAAACTGAGTTTTTCAAGTCTATGCGGTGAGATGAGTTGGCTAACATGATTTTGGTGTTCTTACTTTATTATTGTTACTAATATAATCATATTACAAATGTTTATTATGTTAAAAATACAGTATTTTTAATTAAGGTAGCAGGTGTTTATGATAAATAATGTTATAATTTCATATCAGGAAAATAAATAAAAAGTAAGTGTGATATATTTTATAATAATGATAATGTTTTTTTTAAATATTATTTGCTTAAGGCAAATTTGTTTAAGTTTATTACAAATGATAAAAAAAATTGAAGTTTTTAACACAACTGCATTTATTAGTAATTGAATTTTAAATTATAATAGTAATGGCTTTTAAACTTTTAAATTATGTATTTTTTTCATAGTGATTTTATTATTTTAATAAATAAAAATGGAAAATTCAAATTTTTTTGGAGAATTAAAAAAAAAAATAGCTGAACGGATTGAAGGAAGTAAACGGATGTGAAAAAATGGAATTGTTATGATGGCTGTTAGTCAAATTATTTAAATAATTTATTTATGAAGAAAATAATCATATTTAATTAATTTATTATTATTAAAGTTTTTTAAAAAACTATTATTGTATCGATATTTGTTAATTTAAAATACAATAGTTAAGAAATAGTAAATTTTTAATTACTCAAAAATATGTGTGAATTAATTTCATATATTTATATAATATATGAGCAGTGGAGTAATGGTGGGTCAAATACCCTACTAATGGTACATGGAAAATGGAATCGGTCTTCGATTCATATTCGGTTTTTCCATTACAAAATTATCTCTAAGGATTACTGCGCCTGAAAAGTCTAAAGCAAACCGTTGAAAAATAAAAAGGCATTTCAATTCTTTCTTTTCTTTTCTTTGTTTTTCTAAACTTTCTTAGTAATTGACTCATTGAGGTCAATTTTGTTTGTATTTTAAAAAATAGTGAACTTCTAAATTAGGTTTTGAAATTATAAGCATCAGTATTAGTTTCATAAATTTTATATTTTAGTTTCTAATTTTATACACTATCGTATTATATCATGAAAAAAAAAGCGATAAACTTGTGTTATTAAACATTTTTTATAAATTAATATTTAAAATTTATAAACTCTTTCTAAAAGTTATAAACACCTTCCTTTTTAATCAAATAATTTTACTAATTCATATATTATCTCACATAAAATAATATTGGGTGATATGTATTATTGGTGCATTGGACTAATATCTAAAATACATGTGCATGTTGTGAGATTTGGTAGGCATGGATTTGGGAGGGATCCTCGCTCATTTATACTAATTTACTTTTAACATTTTTACATCTTTTATCAGAGTCTTTACTGTTAGCGTTAATTTTTTTTTATCTAAAAAATACTAACAACACACTTTTTATTAATTAAAATTTATTAAAAACTGAAAAAATCAATTCAAAAGAAAAAAAAATAGTAAAAACTTAAATTTTGTATAATTTTTAATAAATTTAAACCATCGGTAAAGAATATATTGTCAGTATTTATTTTATGTTGATTACTTTTAACAATAATAAGTAATCTTTAATGAATAATGTTGTCTTTAATCTAATTTAAACTTAAATAGGATAAAAAAGTTTCAGTAATAATTTAACAAGTTCCATTTTTTAAAACAGCATAAAACAAATTTAGTTGAAATTTTACTTGTTTTCTTTTGTAATTTTGATAAATTATTTATTTTTTGTATTTTTCATATTTTTATCAATTTTATTATTATTCAATACACAGATGAATAATTTCAATTTTTTAATTAAATTATAAGAATAAGTTTTTATTTAACATGTAATTTATTAAAATATATTATTATTTTGCATGACGTGACATTTGTTACATTTGGGTTAAAAGCTTCGCTGAGTAAAGTAATTTGGATGACGCAAATCTCCACATTAACAAAGCCATGGCACGACTTACCTCAATCCATTACGAGTTTCCGTTAATTATTTTTAAAAAATATATTTATCCAAGCAACAAAATTCAATTAAAAATTTGTCAGAATTTCACTAAAATTTAAATTTTCAAACATTTAAAATTATTTAATCATAAATATTTAGAGCAGGAACGGGATTCCCACGCTGACTTTTCGTATTTGAAATGTCTTTAATTATTCTTCTTGAAAATTAAAATAATGAAGATAGAAAATTCAAACATTTGCAGAGTTTATTTGAAACCTCGTGCACTTTTAAAAAACATAAAATATATAACGTTTTATGACCATGCCTTTTATGTTATTATAAATAGTCAATTTCAATTATTAATAGCCTTCTCGATGCCACTGTCATAAAGGAAACCATTCATTCAATTATAACTTAACATAAAGTAGAAATTAAGTTGTAAACAAGTTAGTGTCGCTGTCCTTATTTGTTTCTTCTAGAAAAAAAATAGAGGAATTTTGGGTTTGAAATGAATTGGCAATGTTTTTTTAATACATTTTGGTATCTTCTAGATTAGGTAATTAAGTTTTCAAAGTGTATATCACGAACCAAACATTTAGTAACATGTGGTATGCAAAATCGTGTATACACAATATTTTTAAAAATATACAATTGTTTAGCTGTTTGTGATTAAATTCAATAATTAAAAATTATTAATTTCTTTATCTCGTTCAAATTTATTCTTATTAAACTTGACATTATATAATCTTTTATGGCTGTTTAGTGGTAAGGACGGGATGATAGAATATAATTGTTTATTATATTATATTTCATTTTTTGTCTTTGTTGAATATGGGTTTTTCTATTGTTATCTAAAGAAGTTAATAAGTTTAAAAAAATTAGATATAATAATATTTTTTATTTTAATTATATTTTGATCAAATTTTGTAATTGCAACAAAATAATATTATTATAATTTAATGTTAAATATTAATATCATAATATATATATATTATTGAAAATTTAATAAGTTAAATAATTTAATATTTTGATATGAGATGTTGTTCATTAAAGATAAGTGATTTAGAAAAACATGGTAGAAATTTTCTGTCTTCTTAATGGATACAATGATATTAATCTAAAAAACACTTATGTTGCTTCTCTTCCTCAATAACTGCAGTCAAAAGATTCAAATATTTTCTCTTCATGAGAAATGATGGAGTTATTATAGTATAATACATTAAAAACTTTGCTAGAAACTATATGTTCTACTATCTAGCTCTTTCTCTCCACAATCATGGAGCTAAACCTAAACTTTCCTGGTTTTATCTTGATGCACCATATCTAAATATTTTTGCTTTATTAATGAATTTTTATCTTAAATATTAAATAAAATAATACAACGTTATCTATTTTACTATTTTAATTTACATAAAAAATAAAAGCTTATTATTTAATTATTGTATCATATTTCATCCAATTATGATGTTATATCATGTTTTATTTCATAATGCTCTCGGACAATATCAATTTATCTACCGAAGGCTAGGAAAAAAAAGGGGTTTCTACATTTTGGTTTTCCTTGAAAAAATGCTACTCACATATTAACGTTAAATAATAAATAGTAAAAAAATAAAATTTAATATAAATTTTTATATTTATGTTATATGTTAGTGTCCCTTTCTTTAATAAATGAAAAAAAGTAAAATGAAAAATACTGCAAACTTTCAAATTTATATCAACAATTTTTTACGAAATACATTTTAAAAAAATCACAACTGAAAAAGAGTCTCCAATCAAAATTTACCATAATAAATAATTATATCACACAGTTATATAAATGTTACATATAAATGCTGTGATATATAAGTCAGTGGAGGGTAAATGTTTAATAAAATGGAAGAAACTGAGAATTAAATATTTTCTAAAATAATTAAAGTGGTAATATTTTTTTAGATTTTCCAATCCACCCGTGACTGTGTCAACCTGAAATAAGGAGCACATATATAACAATACCTACATGCATTTTGACTTGAACATGTGAGCTATTATCATGCATACAAGAAATATTATAACATATTCTTTTAACTATATTTTTATGATTAATTATTTAAATTAAAACTTTTGTTTCAAAAAATAATATATATATATATATAGGTGTGAGAACAAATCTTGCAAATCTCCCTAATAACTCTTTGATGATCTGTATATCATTAAGTAGGGATATTTTAACGGTGTCACCTGTTCCAAATCTCAATATATTAGTCGACCAAGATTATCTTTGTGTGTAAAAATATACACCACGCGATATTAAAGGGCTTAGGGAAATAAAATAATTGAAGATTATCTTAAGGATTAGTCTTTATATTTATTATATTTATATTCTATGGTCTTTATCATATGCACTCAAATCCTCTAAATAAACAAACACAAGTCAACATTAGTGTGTCTACCCGTGAATGGTTCTTGGGAGGAATAAAGTTTTGTTGTGTTCCTCTCTTTATTACAATGCAATGTTTCGTATTTTGAAATTTACGTAGTTGCTTTAAAACGTTGACATTGGAGAACGATTATTCTCTATGCTTTATTTTCTGTATACAAAATTAGACAAGAAAAATAGCCTAGGGTGTAATATTTGATTTAACAATTTATGGTCCAAGATATAAGATATGATTTACAGTGAGGACTGTTTAAATTTGATTTATAAAACTTATATATTTAAATTTGATTTCTTTAAATTTGATTTAACAATTTGACATTTTGGATTTGGTTCATTATGCTTTTTCATACTATAAAGGATGATAACAATTAAAATTATAATGATCTAAATATACGTAAATGTGAGTCTAATAAGGTCAAGTTTATACAATCTAAATTTAATATATTTAAATAATTGAATATAATTTAATTTAAATTTATTTATTTAATTAAACAAACGACACAGAAATAGTTGAATTAATTTACATCCATAATTTATTAAATGATAATTTGACATTGACTAAGCTAGTGAAATTTCGAATTATGGGTTAAGAGCTTAACTTTTTTTTAAAATTATCTTAAGTTTTTAATCATATGGTATAATTAACTTGATCATTTATTTTTACTATAAATTATCATTATAA